AACACTCGGTCAGTATATGCATAAACCCAACTCCAAAAAGAGAGTGAAAGGTTCGGAGCTCACCAAGGGCGCCCCCTTGTTGGGGGAGTCGGTTGAGGATTGTTGCATAATAGAGGCTCACAACATGGCCGCCGCAGTCTTGGAAGCGGTGATCTTGCTCATGGCGTCCGCTACAAAGACAAGATACCAAGTTAATAAAAAGATAAACAGTAACTCATGGCAAAAAAGAGTATTCGACAGGCCAGCTACCTCTTGAACACCGACTTCTAAGGCCACAGGCGGCCAGAAAGTACTCGTCATAGTGCCATTTGAAGCTCGGGACGCAGTGCAGGGGTACTTGCTCTCGTACCCCTGTAGCAGAGTCGACCCTCGACTCTACTTTAAAGAGTCCTTTATCCAAGATCTCTTTCTTGGCTTTGGGGGGAACAGGCGTCATGCTGCGGCCGCCTGCAAGAAGAGGCGGATCCCTGTTCCACCTGTTGAAGCGCTTGTTCAGCTCTGTGTCTGAACTTTCAATGATAAGGAAGGTGCTTCGCCAATCCTTCCACTTGTTTGCTTTACCTCTTGTCATGAGGTAGCCTCTGTGGCTCGTCAATTGATACCAACCGGTACCGCCTGCCTTAGGGGTCCGGCTGAAGTAGTTCATGTGGGCGAAAGCCTCGAAGTTTGGCTACACCCCGTGCAGTTCGCACCCGGCCACATAGCCGAGTACGTTGACCCAGGAGTTTGGGGCTAACTGCCATAACCCCAACTCATACCCATCCAAGATCCGCTGAACAGCCGGATGTAGTGGGAAGCGCAGCCCAGCCCTGATGGCCGCCTCGTAGCAGCCAAAGCAGGCGCTATCATAACTAGTACCAGCCGGCCAGACGACTGTGTCTTCTGGATCCGGCACGAAAACTAAAAAGTCGGGGCCCATTGTGTGGTTCGCAATAAAGCTCCCCACTCTCTCTTGCATGGCCGTGATCCGGCCCCGTGGGACAGTGCAGTAGTAAGGGGTATTTTTCTCTCGGTAAGAGGCGGATGGCTCCGCCCAATTGTTCCCCTTCTCAACTACGTGAGAAAGCCTCGCCTCTTGTAGGCGGTTGTTTTTCTCTTCCGTGTCCAGAGAAGCATGACCAGAAGAACTAGACTCGGATTCGTCCTCTGACGAGTCCGAAGAGGACGACTCCTCCCCTCTCCCAGAGGGGCCCGCCTTCTCTCCTTCAAAAGGAGTAGGAGAGAATGTAGACATGTCAACTGTAAAATGGGAAGGGGTCACCTTGAACCCTCCCTCAGAACTGTCGGCTGTCAATCCGCCTTGGTTCACTTCCACATCTGGCGCCTGGTCAGATGTTTCACTAATCGGCACCCTGTGGGAGGAGCCGTCTGAGTTCGAGATCCTAGCAGTTCTTTTTGTTCTGGCCATCATGTTCTGCATAGACACAGAGACAGCCGGACTTTGTATAAAGGGAAAAGATGGGTCCGGAAAAGGGCAGGCGGCACTCCTAGTCCTAGATTCAGCCGTCCCCGGTGACCGGCTGATCACTAACCTAGGTCGTGTCGTGTGCTTCCGTGGTGCCATTTCAAAAAAGAATAAAATAAGAGAAAATTAAGAGTAAGAGAACCGACGGTTACCTGAACGAGTGAAGTTGACGGAGTTCTGAAAATCTTGAATAGCCGGCTTGTCAGAGCAGGCGGTCGGCAGAAAGAGTCCGGAATGTCAGAGCAAGTTCAGGGGTCCGAATGTTCTCTCTAAAAAGTTCTCAAGTGTGAAAATGATTGAAGTCAACACACCCTTATATAGGCAAAGTGAGAAGGCGAAGGGTCACTTCCAAAATTCTAAATTTGGGCGGGAGAATCTCTCGGCCTTTCACCGAGTGACACTTGTAGCAGGTCGTCGCCTGTCACGGTGCGACACCTGTCACAGGTAACACGTGACCAGTCACGTGCCACCTGTGAGGGGCAAATGATTAGGGGATTTTTATCCACCAATCAGCATCCGACACGTGGGCCAGCCAGGTTTCGCCACGTGTCCTTCATGTAGGCCAATAGGAGCCTGCCACGTGTCATCAAGAGATTCGTCCTCCTTGGACCAATTGCAATGTGACACGTGTCCACCCATGCCAAATGGGAAAACCGCCCAACAAGGCCCAATCATTGTGGGAGGCCCAGTCAGCCTTAGGTTTAACCTAAACCTAGTACTGGCACGCATCCCAAGGCATATAAATATGCCCATTAATCCTCATTAAGGGAGATGACACACATTTAACACTCTCACCTAGAGAGACCCAATTACTTTTATTTCCGCATTAATTACTCCTTAATCAAGTACTAACTTGACCGTCGGAGGCGGATCTCCAATCGTCCGGAGCATCCGTTTGTTTTGCAGGTACAGGCGTCCGGTTCCAGTCTCAAAATTGTAACTCTCCCGCAGGACATCAGAAAACCCCGAAACAGTTAGAGTTAACAATAGGAATTTTATTGTTAACCCAGGGGGAGCTAGAGGCTAGAACACTGTCCCCGGAACCAATTTTCCACGCAAAACCTTTTCTCATCCTCGCCGAGAGAGAATGAATAGTCTTCCTAACCCAGGAAAAAGAAGTCGAAGGAGGCTTTCGCAAGTCAGAAGTCGAACATAGGATACAATCAGACTTTGCATTATAGACCCGAGCAGCCACCAGTTGAGGGTTTGTATGCATTTTGAGGATATTCTTGAATAAAAGGGCATCATTGTAAGTACCTGTAGCACAGATGCAAAGACTCCCCATGCCTTTTGGAAGCTGAATTTGATGTATGTTTACCCAGTGAATACCTTTTTCTCCACTTTTGGCTCACCAAAATCTAGTGAAGAGAGAATCAAGTTTGTTGGAGAAGGAAATCGGGAGTTTGCAAGATTTCATAACATGAGCCACCATACCCAAAAGAACAGAGTTAATAAGGACGAGTTTGGCACTATCCGAGAGTTTGCAGTGTGCCCAAGAGATTATTTTCTTTTTAACACGTTCAACAAGCTCAACAACAAAGGCCCTTTCCTTCCAGATATATCTATAGGAACTCCCAAATGTTTATCCATATTCTCAGTAATAGGAACTCGAAGGGTGGATTTATACAATTCTGCCATCTCTGGGGAAACCGAAGGGCTAAATTTGACAAAGGATTTAGCAAAATTAATCTGTTGACTAGAAGCTTTCCCAAATCTAGCAAGGATATCAGATATTGTTTCGCAGGAATCTTGAGAACATTTAAAGAAAAACATAGCATCATCCGCAAAAAATAAATGAGAGATTGAGGGGGCTCGTCTGGAGATTTTAATACCACTAAGACAATTTATGTCTTCAGCCAGCAATAACATTCGGGACAGAACATCCATACAAAATAAAAATAAATATGGAGAGAGAGGGTCACCTTGTCGGAGACCACAAGAGGGGGTGAAAGAATCAGAAGTCCTCCCATTAATAAGAGCTTTGAAAGTTACTGTGGAAATGCACTGAGAGATCCATTGGATCCAAACTGGTGGAAACCCATAAGCTTGAAGAACCTTAACCAGAAAGAGCCAATTAACCCTGTCATAAGCCTTTGACATATCAACCTTCAAAGCCGCAAAATGAGATACCCGACTTCTGGAGTTGATGAAGTGTAATAATTCCTGAGACATGAAGGTGTTATCCTCCATGTGTCTTCCTGGTATGAAGGCATGTTGAAAGTCCGTGATCAAAAGAGGAAGAATCGGCTTAAGCCTAGAGACAAGACATTTGGCAATACATTTGTAAATGGTATTGCAAAGACTTATTGGCCTAAATTGGGAGGCCAATTCCGGAGTATCCAGCTTAGGGATCATGACCAAAAGAGTTGAGTTTAACTCTTGCAGGAGAAAACCCGTAGCAAAAAAATGTTGGACACTCTTAGTCACTGTAAAACCCACTGTTTCCCATTTCGAATGAAAGAATTCAGAGATACAACCATCAGGACCCGGAGATTTAGAACCTTTCAAATAAAAAATGGCCATCTGAATTTCTTCAGCCGTAAAAGGCAGGCATAAAGCTTCACATTGTGCAGAAGAGAGAGGTGGGAAGTGAAGTTGACGGAGCACCAAATCAATATGATCTGCTTGATCAGGATCAACAAGAGGGTCGAACACATCTTTTAAAGAATTCACAATGAGATTGGAAACTTGCGAGTGGCCCTCTACCCACAAGTTTTCCTCCGTTCGAAGAGTGATAATTTCATTTTTTGCCTTTCTCAGTTTAACCTTGTTGAAAAGACGTTTAGAAGGGACATCTCCATCCTTTAACCAATCACACTTCACCCGTTGTCGCCAATATTGAAAATCCAATCTACATTGAGGCATGAAGGAATTCACACGATCAAGGTAGGTGTAGGCATCAGTTATAGAAGAAACATTCTTACTGAGAGTGTCCAATTCGTTTGAGATCTCCCTCCAATTAATGCCCCATAATTTCTTATGATTCAGGCACCATTTTTGAAGTACATTTCGAATTTTCCTCAACTTATGAACTAAACAAAAAGGGTAGGAGCCACGAACGTTATTCACTTTCCATTCTGTGTCGATGATATTTTTCACTTCCGAGAAACCCAAACACCAAAGTTCTAGTTGATACGGCCGATTAGAGAGGTTAATGGTTGGATCCGAGTCATAAAGGATAGTTGCATGATCAGAAACTAGTATAGGTTCGTGGACAATACGCCCATTAGGAAAATCCTCAAACCAATCCGGAGTGACATATCCCCTATCCAATCTTTCCAAAATCAAATCTGAGTTAATTCTATTATTTGTCCAAGTAAACCTTGGCCCTGAGAATGGAACATCAAAGACTTCGTTATAAAACCTCCAATCAATAAAATCATCCACTCCTCTAATTGAATTATTTCCTCCCAATTTATCTTCTAAAAATTCTAATTGGTTAAAGTCACCAATTAAAAGACATTTAGGGTAATTTTGGATAATTAAGGAAAGCTCATGCCAAACTAAAACCCTATCTTCAAGAGACGGAGCACCATAAACAAAAGCTATATGCTTAATTTCATCATTAGGGTCAACAATCTTACAAAGGATGATTTTGTAGAGGAGAAAACACAAGTCACCGTAGAACTAGACCAAACAAAAACCATAAGCCCTCCCCTAGAACCTAAAGCATCAACTCCAAAAGAGGTAGTAGGGGAGAATAAATCAAGTAAAGGTCTAGCTACATCAACATCTACTTTAGTTTCCGATAAAAATAAAAACATAGGTTTTTTTGAAATAACAAGCCACACAAGATAAGGACGTGTAGGGGCGTGTGGATCATTGAGACCCCTACAATTCCAAGAAATACACTTCATAAAACCATCGGGTGCTGAACCGATGCAGCGACCTCATCATTCGGGATTGACTCGGGGCAAATTAATTGTTGGTTAGGTTCCCAATCCATTCCTACAGCAGCATTCATTCTATTAGCAACAAAAGGAGCAATTCTCAGTTTTTTCATATTATTTGAGCCTGTTGAGTCCAGAGAAGAAGGAGATGGCGATTTGCGCTTTCTAGCTCGATCCATGATGTCGGCATCCACCTGCAAACCCCATTGACGCGCCATATCATCATCAGAAATAGCCTTAGATTTAAAAACTTGCTGCCCAGAAGCATTCCTTCGCCATAAAGCGAAAGCTCCTTTGTCCGACCACCTGTTAAGAGTTTTCAGGCGGTTTTTTTCACCCCATCTGAGATCCGAGAAGCTTTCTCTGAAATTATAGCCTCCCTCGGATTGGGTATAACGCCCAATTGCAATTGATTTCTCAGAATCAGAGCTGATAACATGAATTTCCTTCGAGAGCTGTGTTGGAGAGTTGAAGAGAGCGTCGACATTGATAGCAGCCACCGGCAACACCGGCGAATTTGGGGGGTCAAACTCAGTCAGAGGTAAGTTAGGAAGCCCACCACCAAACGTTGAAGGAGAAAAAGGAAGAAAAGGGGGTTGCGAAGCTCGTTACCATGGATGAACACGAGACCCCGATAGCCGCAAAGATCGGGCTAATTGTTTCCCTGCTTGAATAAAACAGTTAGCAACATTTGTAATTTCATTTTCAGGAGGAGAAATAAGAGTGACAGTAGGTTCTGGCATCAAATTTAAGAGTTGCAAAGAGGGTTGAGGTAAACTCGACGGCGGCGGAGCAGCAATGGAGAGGTTGGGCAGAGCAACCCTTCCGTCATTCCCTCGTCTTCGATAAAAGAGAGTGGGTCTTGAAGATGATTCTCCAACTTCGAAATTCGAAGTTATAGGAGGCATGAGAGTGGATCTGTTCACCAGATTAGCAGAAGACAGAAGAGGAGGTAAACTCGTAGCAGAGCTGTGATTCAAATTTAAAGAGAGGTCTGGTGGTTGGTCCACCACACGAGGGCAATCACCTGAAGAAATATGCACAGCAGCAGATAGCAAATTTACAGAAGAAACATGAGTAGAGAAAGATTGTACCACACGAGTTAATTCATTAGAAAACCGAGGAGAATCCCTATCATTTGATCGATCAGCAGGGTAAAATTGAGCATACGGGTCTCTGCCCAGCCCCAACCGCGTACCTGGAAGAGACACCGCTCTGTTAGCAGCCCCACCGCCGAGTCAGAAAGATTGTCAGAGCTTGTGTAATATCCAGCCGAGCCTCCACTACCTCCTGAGTTGTCACTTGAATCCTCAGAATCAGAACCACCATCGCCGCTTAGATTGCGATCTTCCATGGGAACATCTTCCGGTTCCTCAGGTCGAACCAAATTGGCTTCAGGATTTCTGTACCTCTCCCTAATAGGAAGGCCTCGAATGAGATTAGAGTAATAAGTGGAGTTACGAGGGCCATATAATACCCTCATACCCTGTCTTTCAATAGCAGCAACACGGCTTTTCAGCCTCCGTGCTGCCACTTCCTCTGTAATACGACACTTTGTCTCCGAATGTCCTGCAAAACCACAGTTTGTACAAAAACGGAAAATACCCTCATAACGAAAGTGAACCCAGATAATCCGGTCACCTTCTAGAGGAACAAAACAGCCAGGAATAAGAGGTTGAGAAAGATCAATCACCATCTTAACACGCATATCAGCAGAAGGAGGTAATCCCTCACCCTTGAATTCAAATTCTTGAATATAACCAACATGAGAGAGAATTTGAGTAGCCCATTCACGGGTTAAATAAAGAAAAGGAAGACCATGAATCCTTACCCACAGAGAAGTAGAGTTAAAATTAATGAGTTGAGGGCTGAAGGAACGATGGTACCTCCTGAGATTGATAATTCTTCCATTGAAAATAGCAGATTGAACACGAATAATTCCTGCAAGATCTGAAATATTGTAGCATTCAAAAAGATAAAGAAAAAAAAAAAAAAACACCAGAGTTATGCACCTTAATGAAGCCCCTCCTCCTCCACTTTTGATTAACTATATGTTGGATATAAGCAGCAGGAGGGGGATTAGCACCAACAAATCTTCCAATAGCACACTGATTGTAGTTGATAGGCCCTATAAAAGAAAAATTAGGTGGTGGTTTAGCAACACCACCCATTCGAAGAGATTTGTTTGAGCGAGATTCATCCCTGTGATTAGGGTGTCTATACGGAGGGGAAGAAGCCATATAGCAGAAAAAGGAGAAGAGGAAGAGGAGCAGATTGGTGAGGAATAGCAAGAAATTGGGAGCAATTTATAAGTGTCTTGGCTAGATAAACAAATTTTCATGCAAGCCAAGTGGCAGGAAAAGGAGTTTGAATAGTTTAACTTGTTTGAATTAATGCAATGATTTGTAAAATTGCTGACAGGAGATGAGAATGGAAGAGTGAAAAATCAGATTATCTGTGATTGGTGGTACGAAGAACAAAGAGAAGGAGAAGAGTTTTGCAAATCATAAGACTGACAAGAGGGAAGAACTAGAAGGTGATTGGTTGCATGGAGTAGAAGAGAACAAAAAAGTATTCAAAATTTAATTGAAGAACAAAAAAACCCACAAGTTTAGTGGGAGAAGCTCTCAGCTAGAGAGAGAAAGGATTACATTTTTTCTTTGAGCTCTTTGATATATTATTTTTTTAAGGTGAAGATAATAGGGCCAAAGTTCGAACTCGTTTGGAGTATTGTGTGTATGTGTCTAGGTGATGAATTATTTAGTATTAATTAATTTAATTATGATTTAAATATAACGGTTAATAAGAGAGTGAGAGATAGCTTAAGTGGTTAGAATTTCCCCCTCGATTTTAGGAAATCCTAGGATATATTCTCACCCTTACCTTTGTGGCCCTCTAAACAACAACAAAAAATATTACCGTCAATAAATAAATCACATAATACTTTCATAGTTTGGATTCAAATTAGATAATTTCAATTAAAAGCCATGCTAGGTCTTCTTTTGGTACACTATTAGTTTAGTTCCCGTGTGATGCACGGTTTTTAAACAAACACATTTTGAGATTAGTTTTTTTTTTTTTTTTGAGATTAGTTTATTATACGGAGAAAGAAAGTTTTCTACTCCATAATTTTTTTTGTATACGTGAAAAGTATTTTCTACGCTAGGATATTACTTGCGCAATACAAAAAAAAAACAAATCGCAATGAACACTTTTGAACATTGAAATATTAACATAAAAAAAAAAGGACTCGGTAGGGACAAAACTAGGATAGAACATATGAAAGGTTTATTAGATTAAAAAAAACAAAGGTAAAAGTTAAAAATAAAATAATGACATCATCATAGCAAATTGGCGGGAAAAAAATTAATATGAGAGTGACATGTGTATAATTTGGGGAAGGAATGATGTCAGCAATATTGTGTTTTAATATTATTTAATAGATTTTATCGGCTTCCTTGTACCGGAAAAATATGCTCTTATATACTAGAAAGTATTTATTACCATGCAACATTCAAATAAACATTCAAAATGAGTAAAACCTAACTAATGTAAAGTGTACATATACATTTTGACTTCTAACATCCAACGACTTATTATAACAATTATCATTATGGACAAGTAATGCTAACAATTAACTAAATCTGATCAATTCCAACAATTAATTCTATCAATTTGCCAAACAAATTATTCAACAACCAACAAATGACAAGCATCAACTTTTGCCAAACAACTAAACAAGCCATGCAATCATACTAGTACTCCGTAGAACACAGTGGGATTTATAAGGGTTTTATATATTATTTACTTGATTAATTATACTAGTAAATAAAACGCATAGTGTGTATACAACGTCAAAATTTAGTCAAATTGATTAATTGAATCAGATCAGATAAGGGCCTAACATCGTTTTAAATGTAATTGAACATATACCTGAATTTTTCATAAATTATTTTAGTTGTAAATTGAACTTTGATTTGGATATTCTTTATCAATGTTATCAACAATTATTTGAACTTATTCTTCCAAAATTTAAAACTAAAATGCATTCAGAAATAAATGAAAACTGGTTTTTTGGCCCAAACAATGCCTCCGGTCATTCATTATATGTATATTATAAATGAGGTTTTATAATAATATTACGTGATAAAATACAAATATAGATAAAATTAGTTGCATTTACTTCAGTACTCGTACGATTAAAATATATTTTTTCAATCATTATTGAGCATCAAAATATATTATCCAATATCTAGTATTTAAAATTATAAATTTGCTTCGTTAAACTTCAAGTCTATGAATATGATTAACTCTTTTTAACAACTATAGATATGAGAATATGAGATGTGTCATTAGAGTAGTGGTTGAAATAAAAGTATAATAAGCATGAGGTCATAAGTTTAAATATTAACTAGCCTTCTGTCTCGTGCAATGCACGACTTGTTCATAGAAAATTGCATTGAGAAATGAGTGAGAAAATACCAATAAATAATTATGAATGTAATATGTAACTGAAAACATAATTAAAGAAATAAAAATTTTGGGACTTTAATTTAAAATGAGACTTAATAGAAAGAAGATGGAGGGACTAAAATCAATAAGAGAAAATAAAAAGGTTGAATTAAAGAGGGGAGATGAAGATAAAGTGTTTAGAGTTAAGAAGAATTGTATAATTAAAAATAAAAAATATAAAACGACATGTGGGACATTGAGTTGAAGAAGATGATAGGAAAGTGTAATAGAATGATGACATATGTCTTTTTTGGTTTGTTTTTTTAAATACTAAGTGTAGATGCTAACAATTCATTATAAATTTATCTTAGTAAATTTAAATATAGTGGCAAAAATTAAGAAAATTTGATAATATATGTTGAATTCAACCTAATAACAACAAAATTAATGACATTTATCATTGTACATTGGTAGTTAAAACTTAAAATGGTCAAATTTAGAATTTAGCAGTGTAAAAAGTCAAAATGATACGTTTATTAAGAAAAAAGAGGTAGTGTAGATTAGTACTCCCTCCGTTTCAATTTGTTAGTCCCATATACCATTTTAGCCGTTTCAAAAAGATCTACCCATATTGAATGTATTCTACTTTTAACTTAGTTTTTATTTCTTATTTTATACATAATAAATTTTGATTGCTTAGATTAATTGATTGTGAATTAATGAAATGACTCTAAGTAAAGAAATTACTCCCATGATTTATGCAATTATTATAGCTAATGCTTTCCTAAAAAAATATTAAATAAGGCAAAACTATTTGTGAATTGTTTTTACTATAATGCTAGATTCCAAATATTCTTATTTTCTTATTTTATGTGATTGATTCCATATGCGACTATCATATTAAAACAGAGGGAGTATTAAGCTTGTATAAATGATTCCACGATATTAAATGAATAGAGGTGAAATAGGCTTAAGCTTATATAAAATGATGGGATAAATTTCCCCAAGTGATCTTTTATGTAATTTATTTCACTTTCCAAGTGTTCTTAACAAATTCTAAAGAGAAAGTACACATACAAAAGTTAACTAGAGAATTTTCTCTCTATTTATCCTTAATATTTTCTTTAAGTACACAATTATCTTCTCTCTATTTCTTAACCCGTTTTGTTTGAGTATCTTTCTTTTTTTTTTTTCTTCTTCTTTGTGCTTATATTATTCCCTTTTGGGAGATCCCTTTTAGATTTCTCCATTATTCAAATACATATAGTAGTATAAATTCTCACTTGCACTACTTGCTTTACCTTTCTCTCCAATAACCCCATTTGTAAAATTTGTGTTTTAGGTGAAAAACAACGTGGACCTGAAAAGTTATTTGTCAGTGGGCTAAAGACGAGATCGGTTTGAGGGATGATTGGGCCGAATGTTTCATGTAACAAAGCACATAAATTGGACTTGGATATTTTGGTAAGGAATGCCCCTCCGATACGAAAGTCAATACAATTAACATGAGAGAAATATAAATGCTATGCAAGAGAATTTTAAAAAATGCTTGAGGCTTGAATTGAATACCTTTACTTGGGTGAATAGAGGAGTACTAGTTTAGTCCCATGCGTAGCACGGATTAAGTAGTTATTATTTGTTTAAATAGTTGTCAATTTTATATTCGAAAAAAGTGTGATCATAATCTCATTAATAATTTTGAAAGAAGTACTGTATTTAATTAGTTTTGGAATATAGAAGGGAAAAAAAAAAGGATGATGTCAAAAATAGTTAAAACAGGAAAATGTGTCCCTTAATGATGTCAGCATGTTTTATTTTAGTAATAGTTAATAGATTTATACTTTAGATGGACAAATGGACCCTTAAGACATATATGGGCTTGGGCCTCTACTAATTTGGCATGGACTTTGACATTTGGTGGGTTGAACCCTTTGGCATTGGGCCATTTGATGACCGGCCCAAATAAGTTATTTGGACCTAAACAAAGTGTAACCCTATATACAACACTTTTACTTCATTTCTTAAAATAATGCAATCAAAGCTAAGGACTGAAGGTTAGAGACTTAAAATAGGTCTATACAGAACCTTACATCATCTCATGGAGAATAATGAAGCAGGCTCCAATTTTATATTATTATATTATTATTATTATTATTATTATTATTATTATTATTATTATTATTATTATTATTATTATTATTATTATTATTATAACAACCATTTTGTGTACGGATAGCTACACTATGTGGTCAGACAAAGTAATCCCTATAATATTGATTAGTAATTCTTGTAATACCTACCGAGTAACCGCTAACGTTGACAGTGTAACCTCTATAACAATGACGAAATAACCCTTATAACACTGACCAAGCAACTCTTATAACACTGAAGATTCAATCCCTATAATAATTGGCCACATGGTGTGCCTAACTGCCTATTGACCAGTGACATTTAAAAGTTTGAAAAATTATAGTAAAAATTGACCGCAACACCCTGAATTATGACTAAGGTGCACTGAGTACCTTGAACTTTGTGTGGTAGCCTAAACACCACCGACTATGGTGTTAGGTGCGACATGTGCTTTAAAAGAAAAACTATAGCCATTTATTTCATCGGAGGGACCGAGGGAGTAAATCCGCGTGTGCTAAGTGGATGAGAAATGTTCACCATTTCCTTAAACTGTTACAGAGAGTGAAGATTCACTTCCTTCGGTGAAAATAAGTGGGTATAATTTTTCATTTAAGGCACGTGACACACGTAATACTATAGTTGGTGGTGTTTTGGCGACTACGCAAAATTTAGAATGTTTAGTGCACTTAAGTCATATTTTAGGGTGTTGCACTCAATTTTGCCAAAATTAATTTAAAGAAAGTAAAGGAAAAAAAAAAAGAAATGCATGGCTAAGTAACGTTAGCAAGCAATGAGAAAGCATATTCTAAAATTTGGCATTAAAAGAGAGGCCATAAAAGCATATTCTATAATTTTGAGAATTCATAATAAGTGGCTCACCATCCACTAGAATGTCAATCACGTGTTACAAATCAAAAAGCGTCAAACGTATGAAAGCGTAGTTAGTTAATTAATTAATTTAAGATCTCAAAAAATAAATAAATAAATAAATAAATAAATAAATAAATAAAAATAATTTAGAAAGAAATATAAAGACGAGTTGACAGGAAACGAAGTTAGAAGGATACGCCACAAATCTGTTCCGATTCATCGCATTTCCGTTTCTCTCTCCTCGCACACCCTTCTTCTCAGGTGATCCTCTCATCTTTTATTCTTTTGAATTTTGTTTAATTTGCTAATTTTTATTTAAGAATGTGCTACTATATTTTTGTTCTCTTTGTTGATTTCAACCTGCATTAAAGGTTGGTTTTTTTTTTTCTTTTTCTTTTTTGGTGGGTTTGTTCTTTCTTTACTGTAATTGAGAAGAAATCTGTTTGAATTTCTGTTTTATAATTATGAATTATTGTTGTTTTGTTGAAATTATGAGTTGGGTTTCATGAAATGCTACTTGGGCACCTTAGATCTGTTTCTTACTTGTTAAATTGAATGCTGTTTTAGGATTTGCTGAATTAGGGTTTGTAGACATTTTCTTGGTGTTGGTGTCTTTGTTTTGAGCTCTAATTTGTGTTAGAACACAGATTGATAAAAAATTAAAGGAAAAAAGAGTGAGCTCTAATTTGATTGCATATCAGTGATTGAGAACCAGGGATTTTCAAATGAAACTGTATCATCTTTTTGTTGGTTGTAATTTGGGTTCAGGGTTAAATTATACTCAGATTGTTTGAATTACGAGTGCTTGCTTGGATATTTGCTGCTTTGCACCTTTTTCAATGCTATAAAACCATGGTATATGAAGTTTTGCAAATTGTTCACAAGTCACAAGTGTTGAGAATAATTCTCGTTCCTTTTGTTGTAGTCTTTACTTTTGGCGCACCCAATCATTTTGCGACAGTTCTTTCCACTTACATGTTATCTATTAATTGTATTGCAGATTTGGTACCTGTACTTCATGAATTCGAGAACATCTGTGACATCCGTGGTTTCCTGCATTCCGGGAAACAAGAACAGTTTCTTTCTCTGGATTTTGGTATCTCTACTGGCTAAGTTTTTGGGAGATCTTATTGTTTACGTGAACTTCCTTCTTGTCCAGGCCATTGACAGGAGTCCATCAGCATTACGCCTATTGTCTATTGTTCCTTAGTTGTGTGTGGACTTGACCATCTGCATCACTTATCCTTGTCTTGTAATTTGACAGCATGGTTTCTTCTCAGTTCTCTGCTTTGAGTGAGAGCCACAAATCCTTTCGGAGCCAGTTTCTGCGTCCTGTTAACCCTCCAAATGCTGTTCCTGCCGATGATGATGAGTTTGATTTTTCTGATGTTTTTGGTCCTCTACCAGGGCAGTTTCCTGTTGAAGTGAATGAAGGGGATTTAGAAACTACAGGTGCTGATGTGAGTGAACTTGTATATGATGACCCAGTTGTTGTGTACAGGCGATCACATTCTCTTGTTGGCCCTACTGCTTGCATTAGTCAGTCATTGAAGCTCAGTAAGCTCTGTCTTGAGACTGAGGAAGCAGATGACTTATTGGAGTGTGTGAATGGAAAAACTATTGATGAAGTTTCAGAAATCTCTACAGACGATGATGCAAAGCCTTTGGACTCCTTGAATGATGATCTATTATTGACAAAGGACCAGAAAGTTGGCCTTGATGATTTTGAGATAATGAAAGTGGTCGGGCAAGGTGCATTTGGTAAGGTATACCAGGTGCTCAAGAAGGGTACTTCTGAAATATATGCAATGAAGGTCATGCGAAAGGATAAGATAATGGAAAAGAACCATGCTGAGTATATGAAAGCAGAGAGGGACATTTTGACAAAGATTGGTCATCCTTTCATTGTCCAGCTCAGATACTCATTTCAAGTAATTCCAATCTTGTTATGTGTTTTTTACAGTGCCTTCTAGTCCTTATATTTTTTTTATTCATCCAATGGAAATTTAGGAGTGTTCAATTTTTTTAAGAAAATAGAGGTGGTTGTTATTTGATGTAACATTGTAGATTTAATTAATGTTATACTTACTTAGCCTTTCTTTTGCTTGCCTGCAGACCAAATACAGACTGTACCTAGTGCTGGATTTTATAAATGGGGGACACCTTTTCTTTCAGCTTGAGAAACATGGTCTTTTCAGGTGTGTACCTCTTTTAGATCCTGTTTGTTGATAGCTGGCACTGTTCTGTGCAAAATCAATTAAACAATGTTATGCTTTCAGGGAAGATCTAGCCCGTATCTACGCTGCCGAAATTGTCTCTGCAGTTTCTCATCTCCATGTGAACGGCATAATGCACAGAGATCTGAAGCCTGAAAATATCCTACTTGATGCAGATGGCCATGTATATCTCTTACTGCTTCTCTGTAACATAACATGGTTGCTGATTTTCAAGCTGTGTTGACTTTATCTTTATGTTGCAGGTTGTGTTAACTGATTTTGGTCTTGCTAAAGAAATGGAAGAGAATGGGAGGTCGAACTCTTTGTGTGGGACAGTGGAGTATATGGCACCTGAAATTGTTCTTGGGAAGGGCCATGACAAGGCTGCAGACTGGTGGAGTGTAGGTGTCTTGATCTTTGAGATGCTTACTGGTCAGGTATAGCTGTGAGACTCATGAATGTATTAATGCATAGTTATGTATGTTCGTCCTGCATTTAGTGAAATAGATGCAACTTTGGAATCTAAATTATAAAATCATCCAGTTCTAAAATGCTCTATGAGAAGCAATTCAGATATATTGTATCAAATCCGTGATGAATAGAACTTTAAGGAGCTTAGACTATTTTGTGAAGGTGGTTATACTGCTCTCAGCATCTTTAGCTTGAGTGTTCAGAAACCACAATTGAATAGTTGGTTATACTGCTATTAGCATCTTTATGCAATTGCAACCTGATTTTTAGTAATGCTGTGACCCTTTTAGCCCACATTTGAAATCTATTACCCGAGTCTTATAAGATGACTGTTGGTCGTGCAGCCTCCTTTCTTTGGTGGTAACAGGGACAAGATCCAGAAGAAGATTATAAAAGATAAGATCAAGCTACCAGCTTTCTTAACTAGTGAAGCGCATTCTCTGTTAAAAGGGGTAATATATTTTTATATTGTCCTGAACTTATTTACTGGGTGCTTTCTATATGCTGAAGAAGGTTCTGAATGAGCATCTTTGTTCCACAGCTTTTGCAAAAAGATCCAACCAAACGTCTAGGCAATGGAGTAACAGCAAGCGAGGAAGTGAAGCTCCATAAGTGGTTTAAGCCAATTAACTGGAAGAAACTAGAAGCAAAGCAACTTCCACCAAGCTTCCGCCCAGAAGTTGATGGAAAACTCTGTACTGCTAACTTCGAAAAATGCTGGACTGACATGCCTGTTGTAATTTCTCCTGCCGCAAGTCCCAATGGCAATGGGATTCTACTCTTCAAGGACTTTACATACGTGAGACCAGCTGCAAGTTTCCTTCAGAGGATGAGTCCCCTGAACGAGCGTGCTTGACTTCAGCTCCCTACTTTTATATGTCTAAATTTCCATGGAGATGTTCTATGTATGAATCAATTTGACTATGTAAGCCCTTTGGGTAGTTTCTTCTCCAATGTTTAATTGTATTCAAAGCAAACTTTCCATCATGACTGATGGTTTCCAAAGTTTTATGTGAGACTTAATCCAAATTTAAGGTTGTGCAATCATTAATGTGTGCCTCTATATGTACTATTAGGATGTTTTTTGTTGTTACCATGATAAACATCAGAGATATAGACAGACCAACAGGAACAGTTGAAAGTTGAAACAAATTCTGGGCCCTTTTTTCACCAAGGGTCAAGAAAGGTTATAATGGTCCTAATCAGAAGATGCCATCAGCAGTTTTGCTATCTTCAGACTTTGAGGAATTTGCTGTTTTATCTTTCTCCACATGTAACTATTTAAATGTATAATATAGGGACTGACACGTGGCAAAAGATCATCCACTGCTGACAGTTCTATTGTGCATCTCAGTTTACCACCCAAACATCATCAAGCTCTTCTTTGGAAACCTATGGCTTCTGCTTTGCTTTCTCCAGCTACAAGTGCACATCCTAAGTCCCTTTCTCTCTCCTTCACTAAACCCATCAAGCAAAACCATTTCTTTTCCTTCATCAACCGACCGAAAAGAATCAATGTCAAGTGCAATGCATTTTCAGATAATATAATAGATGGGTTGGCAGATACAGTTGCTGCTTTACCGGTTATTGGTTCTAGTTTTGTAGAAATACAGGAGATTGCTGATACATTACCGGAATCTGAAAGGTGGGGAATCGCGGTGTTTGCTGGTTTGGCTTGGATATACCTGACTGCAAGGCCTGGAGTGCTTATTGGAGCCATTGATGCATACATTCTAGCTCCTTTGCAAGTGGGTTTTGATACCTTGACAGGCAGAAGGACACTAAAGAGGTCGGATTTTCTGATTACTGATAAGATAGGTGAGGGTTCCTTTGGTGTGGTCTATTCTGGGGTAGTTCTGCCAAAGAACGTAAATGTGGGAGAAAATGTGTCCAAGAGGAGCATGGCAAAAGTTCTTGAATCTGACAAGAGATTCAAGGAAAAGGTTATATTAAAGCAGGTAAGTTTATACTCTCCCTTTTGTTATCAAGTTATCAGCATTTGTGGAACTGGTTAGCTATATGGTTTTGGACTTGAAAGTTGGTTAGTCAATTTGGCTTTGAGTAGTAAATTACAATCATCTCTTCAAACTTGATCAAGCTTTTGGCTTTTCTCATCTAGATTGTTACAGCTTTATTCAAATGATGGTGCATAGCGAAAACTATTGTTTGTCATCAGCATCAATATTGTGAATTAGGTTGTTAGATATTTATTTTCTTTATACCATTCATCTGTTAGGTAAAGCTTGGAGTTAAAGGGGCCAAAGAATGTGGTGATTTTGAGGAGTGGTTTAATTACAGGTTATCAAGAGCTGCTCCAGAAACCTGTGCTGATTTTCTTGGAAGCTTTATAGCTGACAAAACAAACTCACAGTATACAAAAGGTGGAAAGTGCCTTGTTTGGAAATATGAGGTATCCCATCCCCCACACACATAGAAAAGAAATAAAAAAAAGGAAAAGTTTTATTTGCAGGAGTTGCTTTTACAAATTAGCTAAGATAACAATACTCTCTACACAGGGAGATCTAGACCTTGCAGATTACATGAAAGACCGTAACTTTCCTGTGAATTTAGAGAATATCATGTTTGGTCGAGCATTAGAAGGAATGGATTCTCTTGAGCGCAATGCATTGATCATCAAGCAAATAATGAGACAGATAATCGCTTCTTTGAAGAAAATTCATGACACTGGCATTGTTCATCGGGATGTAAAGCCAGCAAACTTAGTAGTGACCAAGAAAGGACAGATCAAGCTCATAGATTTTGGTGCAGCAGCTGATCTTCGTATTGGTAAGAACTATGTCCCAGATCGGGGTCTGCTGGACCCTGACTATTGCCCTCCTGAACTGTATGTACTCCCAGAGGAAACCCCAAGGCCGCCTCCAGAGCCTATTGCTGCATTACTTTCTCCAATCCTATGGCAGGTATTCAACATCTCCTCTAATATATGTTTTTCCCTGCAAAATTAAGCTCAACTGAGAGGTTAATTAGTTTACATTAGGACTAATACATTCAGAAAATCAGAAGTTCTGACCATTATTTATCATGTGAAATGAAATATATCAAAATTGGTCAGAATGATGGCTCCAAGATTATATTTTATCCTACTTCCATTTGCTGTAATTGTCATAATTCTCCTCAAGCTTTTGATTTTTCATCTATAGTGTAATGTTGATATCGGCCACATGTGATTTGCAGCTCAATAGCCCTGATCTATTTGATATGTATTCAGCTGGGATAGTTCTTCTGCAAATGGCTGTACCATCTCTGAGGTCCACAGCAGGCTTAAAAAACTTTAACAATGAATTGAAGTCTGTAGGATATGATTTAAACCGCTGGAGGGAGCGCACTCGAAGTAGGCCTGATCTAAGGATATTAGATCTGGACAGGGGAAGAGGATGGGACCTTGTAACAAAGCTTATCTCAGAGGGGGGATCCTTTAGACGAGGTCGTTTATCAGCCGCTGCTGCTCTTAGACATCCTTATTTCTTGCTTGGTGGTGATCAAGCAGCTGCAGTTCTCTCTAGATTGAGCTTGACCAGATAGTAATCCTTCAGGATCTTGTGCACCTGTTTTCTCAAGGCTCTTTTCATTTTTGTAAGTATCATCAGTAATATCCTCCCACCTATTTCATTGCAACTTTTTCCAATATGAATATACAAATAACAAACAGAGCTTTTGTTGAGAGTTTACACACACTTGTTTCACAGAAATTTCTTCCCTGAATTCGTGTTAACTTTTAAAACACATCAGAAGAAAAACCTTTCTTTCGTTCACTGGTCTTGAGTTTTGAAGAACAATGAATTAACTAATTACTTTTTAATGTTACCTCAAAGATGGTAGATAAAAAGAGGTTGGTTATGTCAATTTTCTCAGATCAGCTAGATTCTGATCGTGCATAAGGATGCTCGTCTTTTCCTTGCTATATACAACAGGAGGCATGTGTAATTCTGAAAACTTCCTTCGAATATCAATACATTTTTCTTTCCCTCAATGGAATACATAAACATCTATAGTTGTTGATTGTCAAGGAAAATCAAATGAGTGACTTCCTTTTTATCCAGAAGCTCTGTATGTACTCAGGCAAGTCTTTTCCTTGCTAAATTTTTGAATTGTAATTGAGCAAGTACTAAAAGCTTTATCTTTTGCTCTTATATTAACCTGCCAAAAGCAGCTAATAATGAAAAGGGAGTTGCATTCTATTGTCTAATTGACCCAAATAGTAAATTTTGCTAAAGGTTATTCTCATGCTCACTTTGATTGTACTTTTAGCAATTTACACTCATCCAGAAGTTTGCAGAGACATTGTCATTTTGTCAAGTGACTTTTGATACTCTATGGTTTTGTTATTAGTGATTGACCTCAATTTTTTTTTTTTTTGATGTTAATTTCCTAATATAATACTTTTTAAGTATAGTTTAGGATTTTATGATAAATAAGATAGTCAATTGTTGTTATTAATGTATAGTTAATACATTATGTTTCTTACTTCTTGATACTTACATAATCCTTATATAACTTCTGTATTATGTTGCAATTTTTTAACCTGCAAGTGTATTGTGTATACAATATACATGTGCCTTTTAAAAGGCCATCCTGTTCACAGTGCATACAAGAAGAAGCCATAATCACTTAATTAGTATTTGATAATTTTTGTCTCCTAATAAGCTTGCACAGCCTTACACAGCACCATTAAAGTACTGCCGGATCTAGGCCAAGCAGCCTCTTCTTGCAACCCCAGCGACAGTTCCAAGAACATATTGAGCTAATGAGCTCTAGCCGTGCAGAATTAAGAGCAATCATGTCTGCTAAAGATTGAGATTTGGTCAGAACAATTGCATATCCATCATCCATGTAATCGGTGCCCTCAGGAAAGAGCTGCCACAGAAGGCTTCCAGCTCCACTTCCACCTTTTTTAGCTGAATTCACCAAAGTTTTATACACTGTGTTATAAATTGTGTCCCTGAAAGAAGAGTTGTACCCAGGATCTTTCACAGAGACACCAAATTCTGCAAACACAACAGGCATCCCGATTGACTTCTCTGCATCTTCTATGTGGGCTTGCAACCATGACTGATAGAACTGGAGATGTGCATCGGTTATTGTAGGTGATATCCTAAGTCAAAAAATTTGTTTCCATCAGTAAAATATAAACAGAAAACTATGTGATACGATGAGCAAAATAACAGGTGTAATGCTACTTACCAAGAATCTGCATATATATGAACAGATGCAAAATCAACACCTAAAACCTGATGGTTCCTCACAAAGTCAGTTCCCACTTGTGTGGCGTATGTATTTGGATTAAACTGAGCCCGCTCAGGGGTCGAGGTACCATAAAATCCTTCCATCCCTATCTCAAGCAAGTGTTTTGGATCAATACTTTTCACATAGGCAGCCATCTCTTGTATCCAAGCCTGTGAACATATGGAAAATGTCTTTAACATTCACTTAAAGAGATGAAAAAGGTTAGGGCACTGGAAATCGGTGAATCAGACGAACCTGTAGTTTATCGCCAGAGGGGTCAGAAGTGCAGCGAGGCTCATTCATCAGCTCCCAAGCAAAAATGGTTGGGTCATCTTTGTATGTGACATTGGTAAAGGTATTGACTCTGCTTAGCACCATCTATAAATCAAGTTACAGTAAAGAAAGTATGACATCAGACGAAAGTATTTGTGCTTTTTATAAACATGTTACTTAGACTCTTCATTCAACTCGAGTATTCGTGTTAGATCCTTGAGAATTGGACATGGGTATGGACCCTTAACACTTTTTTTTGAATAAGCGGAAATATTTTCATGAATTAGCTTGGTCTGAGTAGACACATACCAGTATCTAACACCAATAACTCGGTCCAAGCCAGTAAAAGATCATATAAGATTTCTAAAGAGCTAACCTTGATATGATTTTTGTAGTAGGTCTTGAGAGTAGCATCAGAGAAGAAGTCATCTTCAGAGCTCAAATTCAAGCCAGCATCTTTTCCCCATTTAACATACTGTGGTTTGCCACCATAGTCACTCCAGTTGTTCACCAAGGATAAAATCAACCTGATATTGTACTTCTTTGCTTCACTCACAACAAAATCCAAGCCCTGTGAGAAATTCAGACGGATTTATTTGTAGTTACATTTAACAGATCTTATTATGGTTATGCATAAAATCTTGAATAGAAACAAAGAAGAAAAGGACCTTAAAAACTTCTTCATCATAGACTGAAGGGGACTTCTGAAGAGCTCGGTATTGGCCATCGTTAAAAGCCCACGTCCTGCAGACTGATAAACCAACAGAAGATGCTTGTTTGAAGACCTCGGTTACCTTTCCACGAGTAGATTGATCTGAAGCGAAGACCATAAGCCAGTAGGTGTTGAACCCATTGAAGTAGAAAGATTTACCATTAACAATGAATTGGCTCCCTTTCCTCTCCACCATTGTCCATGCATTCTCATCCAATTCAGAGAGCCTAATCACATTATTATAACAGCCATTGTTAGAAGTTGTTTCGAACATAACATACCAACAAAATCAAACAAAAGACAGTTATAAAGATCGTTAATAGTAAATGTTTACCCTGCATCAATCCCGTCATCAGGAGCAATTCCACACTGATTGTCTGCACTGATACCATGTAGCAATAATATCGCCATCAATAAAAAGATTATGAAGCCCTTAAGTTTTGTGAGGCTTGCCATGTTGTCACACCAAGCCATGTCAGAGGAATATGATCAGCTAACTTTATATAATAATGCATACAATGCAAGTGGCTTTATATTTGGTTAAACTCTTAAGGAGAAAGAGAGATATAGGGGGTTGCAGTATTCTTTGAAGCAAAGTTAGTAAAGATTTCTTTATTTCTTTTCAAGACTTTGGTTGTGCTTGCATCACACTTACTAAATTGTGCAAACACAATCGTTACTTATTTCATATCGGTTACATGCATACAAGATTTGGTGTATCAGCATTTAATCAAAACTAACTTATGGTAGGGCATCTCTTTTGGACAAGGCTACATCGCCTACATGGGCAATATGGATACATGAACACTTAATCAAAACTAACTTATCATAGATTCATAGTGCGTGTTTTGTATTAATCCGGGAACTAAAAACTAAGAAGAAGAAAGAAGAGTAATGTTAAGTGTTACCACTATTAGTTATTTCGTACCTAAGGAAAGTAATCTCTTGTTGTATCAAACTGAGGATTGAGGAAGAAAACAATTTTGCTACCATAGGATTGAAACAGGTAACAAATGAGTAGTAATGAGGGCCTGTTCACATTTACTTAATTTCAGTTCAGTTCAGCTCCAATCAGTTCAGTTCAGTTCAGTTCAACTTCAATCAGTTCAGTTCAGTTCAGCTCTTAATTTCCCTCTCACATAAAATATTCATTTCAGTTCAATTCAGTTCAGTTCAGCTCCAATCACTTCAGTTCAGCTCAGTTCAGTAAATGTGAACAGACCCTGATTATCCTTAATTGGTAACGAAAATGGTTAATTGATTTCATTTCCACTAGCACAATGCAATATGCCAAACATGCTCTTAATCAAGGAGTAGTTAAATAATTTAAACAAAATAAAAGAAAAACATACAAATCAAGATAAGAGATGATGTGTACTTTCATGTGATCCACACATTGCACACAAGCTAAGGTACCAAGTCTAAGTGACTTGGGATGAAAGGCCAAAAGATAAACAATACATTAACATTAGCTAGGCTTATAGATTGTTCCATAGCTCCTGTAACAAAGAGAGATACAAGGTAATGCAAGTGGGGTAGTGCTTGCTAATTAAGATGAAAGTTTGCTTCAAATTAAAGATAGTCCTATTCTACTTCTATTTATTCTGTAAAGACCTTACAATTCACTCTTTTAGCATTTGCAATATAAGTAATGCTTAATTGCTAATATGAGATTGGAAATGAAATTTTTACCAATATTAAAGATTATAATAAAATATTACCTGCCATAATCCAGTTGCAAAAACTGCTACTATTGATATTGATCACATTGAAACAACAGCAAATAAACTTGAAGTGGTTAAAATCTGTAATTAGATGAAAATGAAGGTAATTTGGAGTTGGTTGTTTAAAATACAGGAAGCACCAAAGCAGAATACAAAAGGTGCAGCTGGTAGTTGGCATTTGCTCTTCAAGCTTCTTTCTTTCATACAACATTAATGATAATGGTAACTCAAAAATATCCCCTTTGCATTTGTGGTCATAGATCTTTATCTTTATGTACTTTTTCATAGATGTCGGTTAACTTGCTTTCTTTAAAGAAATATTACCTCTGCTCCATATTATTTGTAACGATTAGACATTTTTTACTCACATTTTATGTCAAATCGTTGCAAATAATATGAAACGGATGAAATATATATGAGTATATTAAAGTAATCAAGTTGGTAATTTGTGTTGTTGCTCTTAATTATAACCTTCTAAACTTTGAATCAACAATGAATAATAACACAGGAGAATCTAAGATAATTCTACAGTATATAAAGTATAAATATTTTTGCAAAATTATTTAACAGAATATGGTAGTCTGGTAGACAATTTGGATGACTTTGCTGGAATCATAACTTTCCAAACAAGGAATGATATCATGTTTCCAATCTTAATACAAGTATACAAATATATTTAAGCTCAAAAGGTAAACAAAACAGCCGTCTTAGCTCAGTGGTAGAGCGCGTGGCTTTTAACCACGTGGTCGTGGGTTCGATCCCCACAGACGGCGCATTTTGAAAATCTTTTTTTATTTCAAAGTATCACCTTGTTCTAATATCGTTTAAGGTGTAGTTTAGATTTGAACTTTTTAATCAACATTGGATTGGAATTCAGACCAAGTCGAGCTACTGATAACTTCCTCGGGTTCTTGAGTAAGGATTAATAGCAGCCAGCCAATGCGCCCATCATCACACAGTGCAATGTAAACCTCAATCCCCATTTTATTGTTCAGCTTAATCTTTTAAGATTTCAAAACTAAAAGTACTAAACTCAGCTGCTAATCGTACAGCTCATGCAAAATTAATACAGTACAAGGCCAGCGACAAGTCTAGAGCAAGAGTATAGGAGACAATCGGGGTTGAAGAGAAGCCAATACATGACACCAAAACTGCAATATCTATTATGCACCTGAGTGTATCTAGATTTAGGTGAATGCAACATCTATTATACAGCTCTAAATTAGCAGAAATAATAGCACCAATAAGAGTAGCAAAATAGTACTAGGATGATGCACAGTGGATGCTCTGCATTGAAATTGGCAAGATAATCTAGGATTGTTTCTTGAGTCAGTGTTTTAAACTTTTAAACAAAAACTTTTCTTGCAAACGGAACCCAGAGGAATCGATTACAGCCAGGGAAAACTGTTTAAGATGCTCATCTCGAGGCCTTTATATGATGCAACCTTGCAGACCTGGATAATGTCACAAGCTCTTGTATTTCAACCTTCCAAAGTGCTCACTTTCTTAATTCCAAACCAGTGCATTTAAATTGTATTCAAAGGGATGAAATCAGAGCTTCAGTTGAGCAGGAAAAAATGATATACTGTGTAAGTGTAACTGCCGCAAACTGCAGAAAATAATCACTGCAGTTCATGTTCCAGTTTTCCTACGCTCTGAGCGAGTACCATAACCAGCTCCTATGGGAGCCACAGATCGTTCAGAACCACACTGTAAATGTAAAAATTAAATTATGGCATCAATAGAGAAAACAGAGCAAATACCACCCTAATGATCAGAATCACAAGTCAAACCAGCTATACAGCAACAGCCGACAAAAGAAATTGTCACTTGCATTATATCCTAAGAAACAAAAACAAAAACAAAAACAAAGAAAGATGCTTACCAGCTCACACTGGAGGAGAAAAATGTGGTTTTCTTTTGAAAGAATTGTGTCTGGAGTTCTACAAATATTGCAAAGAACATATTCATCTGTAAATAAGGAGCAAATGCATCAACAATGAATCCACAAACACCCAAACAGAACCACGTTTTTAAGAGTGTCATAGTCAATAATCTCAAATATCATGTATAAATGATAGGGACTCACTAATATATCTTTGTAATAAATCTTCTAAACTTTTAGGAGCAAATCTTCCCCTAATTATCAATCTGTTCTCCTCATCTAATGATCCACTAGTGCCCAGTTTGATTAACAGGAAATTTACAAGTTGTTCCGGTCGCCTATGCATCCTGAAAATACCAAAAGTGAATCAAAACAAGCACTCTTTTTAAAAAATATAGGTTACTTGATGGGAAAAGATAAATGGCAACTTCAGATTGCATGATCACAATGATAATGTCAAACATGACAACATTTCAAGACCAACATCATCAGGGGAAAATGAGTCTCTTGGGCAGGGGAAGGGGCAAATAATAAATTTCTACAATCTAGCAGGGATTAGAAAGCTGTATTTGTCAACTGAAATAACCATTGTGACAATAAAACATTACAGCATAAACCCATCTTTTATACGGTGTATTAAGTACTTTGTAGTGGTTGAAGACTTACGTTTTACACAGATCCATGATATTGACGAAGACTGTCTGTGTGGAGCCTTCTGAGAAAATTAACGGTGGCCTTAAAACTGACCTTCGCTTATCTTCAGCAAGCTGAGGATTATGTTCCAGCAGAAAACTATACACTCTTTGTAGCAGCTGCACATTCAGTAAACACATGATTATCCAAATCGTGAATGAAATCTATAGGCATTGATGGGGATTTTACAAAAGCAAAAGGCAATCACCAAGTAAAACATTGTTGAGATTGTGGCAAGCAAGTACTAGAACAAACTGATTCAAAACTGAAAAAATACACAATGAAGACAGGCCAGCTAGCTGAGTGCAAAATACAGGCACACCAGCTCATTTGATGAGCAAATATGTACTAGTGTACGAGTGCTATACATATCTACAAGGAATCTCCCTTGGTATATTGCTTGTCATTTACAAAGTTTGAAGCTATTATTATCTTGCCAAAGTCTTCACTATAATGCAATAAACCAGTGAAACGTACACTCAAAAGATTATATGTAATGAACCAGCCCCCTGTGGTCCTCATGTATGTCAGAAGAAATGCAGCAGCAGGCTGCGAGTATTGGGCAAGGGAATGAGTGACAGCACATAGGGACAAAAGAGCAGAGCATGTGAAGGCAAAATGGCCACCAAATCAGTCTGGGAACTTGTGTATATAAATGAAAGAGGGGAAAAGATTTAGAGAGGCAAATTTGTATTAGAGTTATCTCTGAGTGTTGTGGGCTAAACCCACTATTGAGAGTTGTAGGCTAAACCTACTAATGTGTGAAACCTATTGCTGCCATTGTTACATATAATCATGCTTGAAGCTTTCTTCCTTATTTGTTCTGTTTCTCTATATTTCTGTTGTTTTTAATAAGGTAGTGGTCTGAGTCCATTACACTAGGCCTGTAATATACATATTTGATATTTGTGAAAAACACAAGTGACAATAATATAGCAGACTTTCTTGATCTAAATAGAACATCCAGAATCCTTGAATCAACTAATTACTTGACCTAATAAGCAATTAACATTCCATAAGATCCTAGTAGAACAGTGATAGACAAAAGCTCTTCCAAAAATACCATGATCATAATCTCTAGCATAAAAGTGTGAAAAGAGTACTGTACCTCTTTATACTCATAATCATGTTCATTTCCTTCCAAAGGGTACCCAGATTGTTGAATAACCACATCTTCTTCCTCATCCTCACCAAAATCTACTGAAAAGGAAAAAAAATATTTAAAGCCAAAACTACCTTTCTTGTGATAATGAGTAGAGACTGCAATGCAAATGAACATTAAAAACTTTCTACAATAGGAATCCTCATAGTAAGCAATCTGCTTGCCAAGAGCTAAAGAGAATTCTAGCCTTAGGATCACGCATATATACTATTTTAGAAAACACTGTGCACTACTACCTCAAGGTTAAAATATAAGTAGCTATGATACCACCCCATTAATCTTAAATAAAATAGATCTGAGATCCTCAGAAACATTTTAAAGAGAAACACTAGTACAGGAAGGCTAAGTTTACCATACATGGCTCCTGCAGCATCAGAATCATAGTTAAACAATTTACTGGTTCCTACCTGCAATTGACAATATCTTCATCAACCAACAATGTTTGATAGCAGCTAGATCTATTCAAAAACTATGTAGAATTTTTAAACTTACTGATCCTTTGTTCTTTGTTAAACCAAGAAAGAAATTTATTCCACCTTCATTCACTGAAACAAAGAAAATGATAGTCGCGCAGAATATTACTGATAGTGAGTGCCTAGAGACATAAAATCAATGAAACCAAACTTCACAAACAAATGTGCTGAATAATCAGGAAAAGATATAAATCTCGTGAAGGTTTTTACAGACATCGTGACAAATCATCTCTGTCCACATTATGTTGAATGGCAACTTTCTTCTTCTTCTTCTTCTTCTTCTTCTTCTTGGTTGGGTCAAAAGGCACAATCTGTATTGTGAAATTATAGTCATAAATTAATACAATGTAAGAAGAACTACTTAATCAATATGTTTACTGGTTAACTCTTCTCCTCAAGTCCATCAATTATTTAATTTCTTTCAAATATTACTTCCCCTGTCCCACATGATTTCACACATTGTCTTTACATATAGTCCTATCTAAGTTGCACACAAACCAGTTCAACTTTCAAGTAAACTCTGCCTTATTATTTCTGATTTATTATTACTCAGTCCAAACCACTCTATCTCTTTTACTCTCTCGTTCCTCTTTTCTTAATCTTTAAGCCAAAGGCATGTGTGTAAAATGTGGCAAAGGGAGAAACAGGATTGTGTACAATTAATCCTTTTGCGTTTTTATCCATCCATAATAACCTTTATATACCCCCATAGTCAGCAGTTTAGTGATAAGTGTGAAATAATCTCATGGATACCCTGAGAAATAGTCATTTTCTTCCTGTCCTCTCTACATAATTCCATTTCAGTGGAAATTAGTGTTTGTAAAGGCTAAGGCACAATAAGGCAAAGGGGGGTTTCCGGAGTTAAACACTCAACGGATGACAGGAGATGCATCCTGAGGTCTTAAAATGTTGTTTGGAACCATATACAACCATTAGTTGATAGCATAAAGGCTCATAGTGGCCTTGAGTTAATGAAGGGAGACTTGTACATAATTGTCAATTTAATAGGCAAAGTGGGCAGTTCCAACCAACCACACAGCCTCTCGAGGTATAGTAGGGTCCATGGGAAGCACATTGACCTCTTTATTTTCGAATCCAAAAAAATCGAAAATGGTCCAAAACTAAAGGCTATAATCCACACCTTTGAACAAAATTTAGAAAATTTTCAAAAATTTTAAGTAAATGTGTGGGGTGTCTCCTAGGGCCATATAAGGTGGTTTTGAACAATAAAAAGCCTATTAGCCTACCAATATAACTATAAAGTTGTGAGAATGAGTTTGATGTAAAATTATGTTGCATTTGTAGTTAAGAAGTGCAAGAGATGGTTTCAATAACCAACTTGGCATCTCGAGGTCATATAATATTGTCAGAAACCATAAACAACCATTGATCGGTCACATATAAGATTGTGGTGGCCTTGAGTTAATAAAGAAAGACTTGTATGTAAATAACTAAATTGATAAGATTAAAAGCAATGTGGATGGTTCCAACCACTCACATAGCCTCACGAGGTATTGTGGGGTCCATGGGAAGTACTTCGGCCTAATTCTATTCCAATTTCGAAAAAGTTGAAAATTGTCTAAAATTCAAGGCTATAATCCACACTATTGGGCAAAATTGAAAATTCGTGAAATTTTCCAAAAATTAAAGAGAATGTGTGGGATGTCCCTCAGGCTCATATAAGTCGATTTGGAACCATAATAAGCCTACCAATAAGTCAATAAAGTCCCAAAATTGAGTTAGTTCAGCTATGTGACTATTTTGAAATTATATTGCATTTTTAGTTATGACTTAAGAGCTGCAACAGAAGGTTTCAACCACCAACTTGGCATTGGCATCACGAGGTCATATAATGTTGATTGGAATCAAGCACGGTCATTAACACTTAAAAGCAATGTGGATGGTTCCAACCACTCACATGGCATCTGTAAACAATCCATCCCTCATCACCAACATAAACGACCCTTCCTTCTTACAATCGCCTTAACTATGCACCTCAGGACCCAAGAAGCACCGGAAGTGTCAGATACCATCCTCATATTCCCCTTCCCTCTATAGTTTTCCTACACTAGGTGGAATGTGGGATTGATTGTGATTGTAAGCAGTATTTTCCATAACTTGGAAGAACCACTTAAAAGAAATTCGCTAAATGTAAAGCTACATCAATGATAATTAAGGCTCGAAAGAACCAAATCCAGTTTTGCACATCCAAGAAAGTGGTTTGAAAGGGTGAGGCAATTGGGTGACACTCAATTGATAGCCTGACACGATAACATCAAGCAACCTATTTAAGACACTTTCACCTGTTTTTGACAAACAAAATATTTCATTCCCATACATCTTCTTACAGACTTACAGTCCTGTAGTATTTGACACAGTATCCGTCATAAGAGCAGATGTAGATATTGACGGCAGAAACTGATTCATATTAGCTGAAAACAGTCTTCACCTTCCTATGAGGATAACATAATTGTCAATGACTCCGCGCCAGACTCCGGAATCATCAGCAAAGCCTTTTGACACTACTAAAATTCAATCCTCAAGTCAACTTACCCATCAAAATCATCAGCCCCTTTTCCTGTTTTCCAACCAGGTGACACTCCGATCACTATCATGTTGATCCTTAATACACCCTCCATCCAGAGATAATTGTCATATTCTCATAACTAAGAATACAACATACACAAATTCACAAAAAGACATTTCATTCTACTTAAATAGTCCATGCTCACGCTCCCAAATCTCAAACATTCAATCTAGGCAACAAAATATTGGGGAAAGAAGATACTGAGTACTATCCAAAATAAAGGAGACATCTTTTCTCGGACATCCTAAAATAGTTGACCATCACAGCATTCAAACACCTTTCAATTACTACATTCAAAAGCATCAACTTTCCAAGTGAATAGCTGTATGTTTCAGTGTGTACATTATAATCGACAACGCGTTCTGATCATTATTGAATAAAGTAAAGTTAGCCATTAGTCAAGGCTACAGCTAACTCCAACTCAGTACTTAGAATTTAGTATTCAGCATTACCCCAAGACACAAAACGACCCCGCAAGAAAAACCCTTTTAAATACAGTACTATATATTTATCAAAAAAAAAAAAAAAAAAAAAAAAAAAAAAGTGGTACTCACTTCGGGTATATGTAAATCCGCAATTGCTTCTTTTAATGAAGTTCCATCAGTCATGTTTCAACCAAAATCTACAAGAAATTAATCCAATTTTCAGCAAAACTAACAACTCTGACACCCCATATGAAATTATACAAAAATTTAATTGAATTTATGAGCATGTAAATGAAATTAATACGAAATTAAGAAGTATAAGTTAGATGAACAACTGATCAAAAATACTGAACCGAATTGAAATAGATTTGTAAGTTGGTAGGCTTAAACCCTAAAAAATAATGTAAGCAACTTGTGAATTGAAATGGCGAAATTCTGACCTTAAGAAATGCGGCAGTGGCTCAATTAGTAAGGAATACTTGAGAATTATGGCGACTGGTCTACGAATTTTTGACACAAATGGAGGAAAATCTAACTATATTTTGGAAGTTTTTTGGTATTGGACAATTGGTAGTTTGATTAGTTAGTTACTCTTCGCTCCCTTTTGCTTGGTCTATTCAGGTGTTTCCAAGTTCCAATATGATTGCTAGTGTTGGTGAGTGGAATCAAAAGACTAATGAAGAATGTCAAATATTAACTCGATTCAATTTTTTTTATTTTTTATTTTTTATTTTTTTTAATTTTTTTTTTTTTTGAAAAAACGATTCAAAATAATCTTGTTCGGTATTTTTTTTTCTATTTCTTTTTAAAGATAAGGATTGGGGTCTTGTTGGGTTAGAATATCTCACAAGATAATTCGATATGGGTTAGCGAGATAGGTTCTTTGGAGTGCGGGGAAGAGTAAGGGAATCCTCAGTTCTCCACCTTAAAGCATCTTTAGCGGAATTTGATCCCATGACTTTTAGGTTTTGAAATGACTAACCTTAGTACATACAACTATACTACTCCGTAAGAGTCTATTTTCTTTAGCTTAATTTCAGTTCAGTCCACTTCCTAATTTCATTCTCACATAAACAATTCGATTCAGTTTAGTTCAATTCAATTTAGTTCAATTCAGTTCAGTAAATAAGAACATGCCTTAAGATTTGCTTAGACCATGAGAAATGATGGGATAATAGTAACTCACAATACTCTCTCTCTCTTTCTCTTCTTTGTGAGTTAACTCATTATTCTGGAAATTGACACAAAGGTTACTTATGGGGAAGAGAACACGTCAATGCCGAGCAACTGATATGCACATAAAAAATGTGATTTTGCTATGGTCCAATGATAAGATGACAAGTGTCACTGACAAAAGCAATTTGATTTCTTTGAATCTAATTTAAATGTAGAATGCATCGGCTAGGGTTTTTATTTTTATTTTTATTTTTATTTTTTTTTACCATGATAATTTTTGTAACGGCAAAATTTACAACGTATTTAAACTTTTTTAAAAAAAAAGCAACAATGACATACTTATAATTTTATCTATAAATAGAGCCTAATATTAATATATAGATTTTCACCCTTAAAATTTTACCCTTCTTTTTTATATTGCAAAAATATTTTGTGATTATGGATCTTAATAATCCTAATTATGGAATTGGTTCATCTCAAAATAATCCAAACTACTAATCTTCCGATCCCCCAAATTTCCAAAGTAATTTTCATTTTAATCCAAGTAACCTTACTAATCTAAAGGCTCAAAAGATGTTATTTACTTATTTTATAACATTCCTAGCCAACCACTACATCCAAACCAACAATTTGTACAACAATTTCAAACCAAATTTTAAACCAAAAATTCACACTATAATTCCCAAACCAATTTTCAAACCAAAATTATCCATTTGGTTTTATGTTCCCAATGTCACAACATCATGGTTGGAACCAAATAATTCAAAATACTCCAATAACTCATAATTTAGGGTATGTTCTGATTTACCGAACTGAGTTGAACTGAACTGATTTGAACGGATTAGAGCTGAGTTGAATTTAGCTGAACTGAATTGTTTATGAGAGAAGGAAATTAGGAACTGAACTAAATTGAAATTAAGTTGAAGAGAACATGCCCTTAACCCCACTCGAAATTATACATATTTAAGTTATTATTAATATTAAAGTAAATAATGCTCTAATTAAAATAAAACAAACCAATTAACAATGTCTTAGGCCATGTTCACTTCACCTAAAAAAAATATTAAGGGAAAATAATTTCAGTTCAGTAAAAATAAGTTCAGTTCAGCAAAAATAATTTCAGTTCAGTAAAAAAAAAGTTCAGTTCAATAACAATAATTTCAATTCAGTAAAAATCAGTAACTTCAAAGAAGAAATATAACATGGAATTAGTAAAAATAATTTCAATTCAGCAAAAATAATTTCAGTTTAGTAAAATTAATTTTAGTTCATTAAAAATAATTTAAGTTCAGCAAATTTTTAGTATATTGTGTTACAAATTTAAATAGGTATTGGTTGTGTTTGGTAAACAGATTATTTGAGCAAAATTAGCTTATTTGACCAACATTAACTTATTGACCAATAAATAAACTAATTTTAAGGTGTTTGGAGAAAAGTTTATTTAAAGAGCTTAATCCACTGAATAAGCTCTTTTTGAAAAAGCTTTTTCAGCAATTAGCTTATTCATTGATTTTTGGAGAAATGACACTTATACCCTTATTTAATTTAAAAATCTACCTAAACTACATACCCCACAATTTGCTTATTGGTCATTTCACATGCTCAAATAACTGTAAACTAAGCAAACGCGAATATTGGTGAATTCGCGGCATGCGGGTTCGGTTTACAAGTGGCTATTCGGCTGGGATACTCATGTGTTCAATTGGAAAGTGATGCTGCTAATATTGTCCAAGGGATTAGAAGGAAGGCAGGAGGTTTCAACCCTTTAAGTATGATGATTGATGATGTTTGTTCTCTCTATGTTTTTTGATGTTTTTTCGGTATCTCATGTTAAGAGGGCGGGTAATACTTATCAAAGGCACAAGTCAAAAAGGAAGTTGGGGCAAACAAAAGTTGGAGAGAGGATTATATATTCTCACATTTGATTAGTTACTGATACAATTACTTGATTGGCGTAAATTTTTTGTTTTTTGTTAACGTATTGGTTTTATTTTGTTGTTTAACTTTTTATGAGGATAACATGAGTTTGCTTTGATTCATTTTAAGAGCGTAATTTACAATGTGTGTTAGTATTCACCTTCTTATTTCTACACGTTTAAATGCTACAAACTAAACTAGTAAACTATTTTGCTCAAAATATAGGGTCTAAGATTTCTGCAAAATTGAAGTCTTAAAGCGATTTTTATTTGCTCATGTGATTCGCCCAAAAGAACAAACTTAACAATGTTAACGTGAGACTTGGGCTAAAATGTTAAGTCGCTGCTATGAGTGCTATCTATTTTTAAAGTTAATGTATAATACATGTATAATTTTTTATCCTTATTTCATCCACTAACTCTTTATCCTTATTCCATTATTTTATCCCATTATGTCTCAAAGGTTATAAACTTGAATAATCTTATGACACAAAGTATTATATGTGGCTGGCCACTCGGTGTAGTAATCCAATATATGGGTTACTTGGTCAGTGTTAAAGGGGTCACTTCATCAATGTTATAGGAGTTACTCGTTCATTGCTTTAGAGGTTACTTGGTCAGTGTTATGGGGTTTACTTTATTGTTTTATAAGTGATCACATGGTGTGGTCAACTACACTCAAGACGGACTGATCTTATAAATATTAATGAATCATTGCGGTGGCAAGCACTTTTAAAAGTTTTTCGAAAAAAAATAAAATTGCGAGAGTCAATAAAATGATTGGTAAGGGAGAAAAAAAAATGAAACGCGCAAGACCACAACATAATACGCGCTTCAGCCGTTCTGTCTAATGGGACGTTATTATAGTATTAGTAGAGGCATCAAATCAATCATAAATTAACATCAATGGCAAATCTGTAATTACCACCTTAAATCCATTCTCTTTTCGTCAATTTTGTCAACTTGCTGTTTCTTTCCTACAGAGTACAAGCAACTTGTTCTTGTTGGTCTTAATTATATATGCTGATTACTTCATCTAATCACACTTGCCTTTTGTCTTAATTCATTTTTATTTTATTATTGTCATATTTTTACTTTTTCACTATGAAAGTATGAAAGGGATTTTTTTTATAGCTTTATTTTGTACTCTAACACACACTAGGTATTTTCATCAATATATTTAGTAGCAATTTAAATTTGAAAAGCTTAACAATGTCCAAGTTATGATTTATAGATGATTGATTAACAAGTTAATGGTTAAATTTGATATAAATAAATATATAGGTCAATTATCAAATAATGTAGAAATAGCCGAAGTAGTGATTGTTTAGTTGATATAAGAAATTAAGAAGTTGTTTGATAAATTCTCCATAATTTGTTTACATATAGTGATAAATTTTACTTTTATATGTAATTAATCAAATAACTTATACAAATCTAATTAACACGAATAAACAACTTTGTAAATAGATTATATCTAACCAAACTATAACTAAATTAACAATTATAAACCCTAATAAAATTCGATCTATACATTAAGAACATCAAACTTTTCGGCAAACTTTCATTTATAAAAGGTAGGATGGTGATATATAAATAAACAAAAAAAAAAAAAGAATATAAACAAATTCTTGTAATGCTGTATTATATAAAGTCACAGCTCATTTTAATAATAAAATTAAAAAATTAACTACTACTACTACTACAAAAGTCTAAAGCTTGCAATTAGCAGTTAATCTCCCCTTTCTCCGGTCCCCACTCCCAGCAATGCAGTAGTAGTAGCAATTAAAAAGAGCTAAACAATTAATTACACGATAATACAAAATTATAGATTTTAAAATAAATAAAAATTGGCAATGAGACACATTCAATTCCGGTTTTTGTAGTCCTCTTCCTTCTTTCTTCCTCCATTACCAACTTCCCTCTAACCCTAAACTTTCTCTCTCCTTCAAATTTCCCAGATTTTCGATTTCAACCTTCTATTTCACTCTAAATCCATACTTATGACTTGATCATCTTTCTTCTTTCTCCATTTTCTAGAAACTTCTTAGCTTCTGCCATCTGGGTTGGAATCTGCTTCTTTCTTTGAGCTTTGAGATCGTCAAAGTTAAGTTTCTCTGAGCTCAATTTGCTGCTGATTTTCCATTTTCAGCTTTATTTTACCTGGTTAGTTGTAGTTTTTCCCAATTTTTAATTTTTTTTTCCTGCTTGAATTTCATGTAAATTGAATTGAATTATTTAGCTCCCCCAAAAAAAAAAAAAGTTGAGATCTTGATGAAATGGGGAGAAAATTAGCTTTGATTCTATGGTTATCTGTATTAATAAAAGTGATAGTAGCTCAAAATTATACACCAAAAGATAATATTCTGTTGAATTGTGGGGCCACCGACAAACAGACCAGCGATTCCGATGGTCGGAAATGGAACTCCGACAATGGATCTAAGTTCTTGTCTTCATCCAAAAACACAACCACAGCTCCGGCTGACAGTCAAGCACCTGATGTTGCTGAGGTCCCTTTCTTGACTGCTAGAATTTTCCAATCTGAATTTTCCTATAATATTGCTGTTGCCCCTGGTCGGAAATTTGTCCGTCTTTACTTCTATCCCAATTCTTATGCTGGTCATAACACCACTAATGCTATCTTCTCTGTCGCGGCCGGGCCGTTCACTTTGCTTAGCAATTTTAGTGCTGCCCAGACCACCGAAGCCCTTAACTATGATTACCTTATCAAAGAGTACTCCATCAATGTCGAGGGTGATACTTTGACCTTAACCTTTACGCCCTCGTCTAATTATACCAATTCCTTTGCCTTTATTAATGGTATTGAGGTTGTGTCTATGCCTGATATCTATCAAGATGCTGATGGTACACCCTTTGTTGGTGGAGGTGTCAATTTTATTATCGATAACTCCACCGCCCTTGAGGGTTTGTATCGGCTTAATGTGGGTGGAAATTACATTCCTCCTACTAAGGATACCGGCCTTTTTAGGTCGTGGTCTGATGATACTCCTTATATATTCGGGGCTGCTACGGGAACCACTAATGTTGCTGATGTTAATGTCACTTATCCTGATTCTATACCCTCGTATACTGCTCCTGTCGACGTTTACTCCACTGCAAGGTTCATGACAATGAACAATTCAATCAATGTCAATTTTAACTTGACATGGTTGTTTACGGTTGATACTGGCTTCAGTTACTTGGTTAGGCTGCATTTCTGCGAGATCTTTTCCAATATAACTAAGGACAACCAGATTGTGTTCAATATCTTCCTCAACAATCAGACTGCGACCCCTGGATACGATATCATTGCCTTGGCAGGCAGTAATGGGACACCTAATGTTCAGGACTTTGTGGTGATTCCTCCCCCTAGTAAAGACCCCCAGCAGGATCTCTGGCTTGATCTGCATCCAGATACCAGTTCTAAGCCGAACTACTATAATGCATTTCTGAATGGAGTAGAGGTATTCAAGATAAACGGCACTGATGGTAGTCTTGCTGGGCAGAATCCAATTCCTGCCCCAACGCAGGAGGTTGTTTTCTCTCCATCAGGCTCATCCCATTCAGCTAGTCATGCTGCAGTTATTGGTGGAGTTGTTGGAGGTGTTGGACTATTCTTCCTGGTTGCTCTATTGGCCTGTTTCATCTCTCGCCGCAGGAGGTATGGAAAGGTCTCCAACCCAAGTGATGGTCCATCTGGTTGGCTTCCCCTTTCCCTGTACGGAAATTCGCATACCTCTGGATCTGCAAAGACGACTACAACTGGAAGCTATGCTTCTTCTCTTCCTTCAAATCTCTGCCGTCATTTCTCTTTTGCAGAGATCAAATCTGCCACCAAAAATTTTGATGAGTCTCGTGTCCTCGGAGTTGGAGGTTTTGGCAAAGTTTACAGGGGAGAAATTGATGGTGGGACGATGAAAGTAGCTATCAAGCGTGGGAACCCACTGTCTGAGCAAGGTATACATGAGTTCCAAACAGAAATTGAGATGCTTTCCAAGCTTCGTCACCGTCACCTTGTCTCTCTGCTTGGTTACTGTGAAGAAAATGGAGAAATGATCCTTGTGTATGATTACATGGCTTACGGAACCCTTCGTGAGCATCTCTACAAAACCCAAAAGCCCCCTCTGCCGTGGAAGCAAAGGCTCGAAATTTGCATTGGTTCTGCTCGTGGATTGCATTACCTTCACACTGGTGCCAAGCACACTATCATTCATCGTGATGTCAAGACAACCAACATTCTGTTGGATGAGAAGTGGGTGGCCAAGGTTTCTGACTTTGGCCTGTCCAAGACAGGGCCTTCATTGGATCACACCCACGTTAGTACTGTTGTGAAAGGTAGTTTCGGATATCTGGACCCTGAGTACTTTAGGAGGCAACAACTCACCGACAAGTCAGATGTTTACTCATTTGGGGTTGTTCTGTTTGAGATCTTGTGTGCTCGGCCTGCCCTGAACCCGTCGCTTCCAAAGGAGCAAGTTAGCTTGGCAGAGTGGGCAGTATATTGCTACAAGAAGGGTATACTTGATCAGATTATGGATCCTTATCTGAAGGGAAAGATTGCTCCTGAATGCTTCAAGAAGTTTGCTGAGACTGCTATGAAGTGTGTGTCTGATCAGAGTATTGATAGACCGTCCATGGGTGATGTGCTGTGGAACCTCGAGTTTGCTTTGCAACTACAGGAGAGTGCAGAAGAGAGCGGTAAGGATCTTGGCGATGTTGCTGGGATAGACTTTGTTGAAGGCAAGTTTGACGTCGAGTGTGGAAAGAAGGATCCAAATGAATCCCGGACTTTTGATGGAAACGTGACAGACTCAAGGAGTACAATGAGCATTGGAGGTCGCAGTCTTGCAAGTGAAGATTCTGATGGTCTGACACCAAGTGCTGTGTTCTCTCAGATCATGAATCCCAAGGGACGTTAGATACATGTCCAATGCTTGGGAATTTCATTACCGAAATTTGGTGTTCCAGACCTATTTTTCTGCCTAATCAAAACGGGTTTGCTAATCGGTTTGTAATCAACCAAACCACAGAAGGAACTCCATCATTTCGTCATCAGACTAATAACACTATCCAAAATTTTCATCAATATACAATATCTTGGTTCATCTGTTGAACATGGCTATTTTTATTTAATTTCCATCTTTGATCTAGCAGTAAGTTGTATCTATAGTTCTATTTAAAGAGTGAAACTGAAATTGTTTTATATACCATATGTACTGATCTTTCTTGTGTATTTCAGTAATTTATGGTTCATTTTAGTGGGATTCATTTATTCTTCTAAACTCGCTAATCGGATTCGAGTTTTCATCCCTAAGCCCTTTGTAATGTTTGTTATAATCATATTGCAATCTTGTTATCTTTGCATAATAATAATATAGAGTGCTTAATACTTGGTACTCGTATTAGTCGTATAATGTGAAAGTGAGTATGTAATCGTGAATATGATGGTGACCCAAGAAGGATAAGAAAGTAAATGCACCACCACTAAATATGGTTGTCAAATGTCAAGATACACATGGATGGGACCCACGTTGAGTTGTTCGTTGTTACAGCTTAATTGGAAAAAGGCAAAATGGAAGGACGGCAATCAAGAAAGAAAGAGTAAGATAATTGACAATGGAGAATATGTCAAATAATGAAAATGGCTGGAATTAGGCTGGACATTATACAATAATAATTATGTTATATTCTTTTGAGTATGACACCCCATATTAATTGTTTTACATGTCTTAATGTTTTGCATTTGATAGCTACTACGACTACTTGCTACTTAGTCCATTGGACGAATTCAATTCTAAACGATTTTCTCTATTAAGACTTTGAGCAAAATAATACTCTTTCCGTTCCTTTATTATCTTGGCACTAGTTATTCAATATTTACCTCATACGAAGTGGAAATGAGAGTGGAAGGAAGGAGGATGAGAGGATAGGAATGGCGGGTTAGCTTGGTTAAAATTAGAAAGGAAAATGTGGCATTTTATTGTTTTTGGTAGGAAATCTATACTAATATATTAAAAAGCGTTCGGAAATTCGAACCCCAAATCACTCATAACAAAATTGACTTTATAACCATCTAAGCCAATTATCACACATATTATAAATATGAGAAAGAAATATACAAAAGTGTATATAATTATTAAAAAAAACACTCACATTCATTCTTGATCTTTTAATCCAAATTTATATATAAATACATAAAAGTATTATAATATAGAATAAACTCAATAAAAAATCCAAAATTAGTTTTTTTATTTTTTTATTTTTTTTATTTTTATTAGAATATACTCGTAATATGGTTTCAAAAAAAATAAAATAAAATAAAATACCCATAATAAACAAATTAACATGTTTTTTTACAGTTTTCTCAAAAAAAAAATGTCTTTTAAAGTGTCTAAAATAGAAATGAAATTATTCAAAGTATTACCCGGGGAAAAGTCCGGGGTTACACACTAGTTTATAATTAAATAACTACATTGTACTTGTTTTGATGTTAGACTTGTAAATTATGAGTCTCAATTTTTTTTTTTAAAGATCAACCACTAGTACTCGTATATGTTTATACTATGCGCAAAGAAATGGTTGGACAAGAAAAGGATTCAATGGTCACTTGTATATGTAACAAAAGGTATAGAAGCCAGTGCCATCACAAGATTATGATGATCCAACAAGAGGCTAGAATGGGATTTTTCGAAAGAAATTACTCCTTCCGTCTCTAATTGTTTGCCCATTGTAAATATTTGGATAAAATTTAAGTCCTTACTAATGTTCATTTCTAATACATATCTTGGAAACCATGAAAAATCAAATGGGATAAACAAGTAGCGATGGAAGGAGTATAACATTTTATTCATATGCTTCTGTTGGAATATTTCCAAATAATAATGTTATGTGTGAGAGGTTATCCCACATGGAAAAAGTAAGAAGGGAATGTATTGTTTATATGGTAAACAATTAGATATGAGTTATGAAATGGGTTAAGTGGTGTTTTAGACAAGTGGGCTAAGTGGCTTATATATATTTATAATCAAAGACTTAGCACTTAGCTCATTCTTATCTTCCGTTCATCCTGTTCTTCTCCTCTTTTTAACGTTTTTAGGAAAGTATTCTTTGTACACGCCTAGATGGCTAGATCCATTATTTGTTTTTGTTGTTCCAATCAATCTTTCTACCAACACTTTCTTGAAGCTTCAAGTATAGTTGACTAATTATCATCAGTCGAATCACATACGAGTAGTCAAGAGATAGAGTACCCTTTTTTTCCAAAATATTTTTCTTTTTAGTTAATAAGCTCACAATTCATAAGGTGTAAATGTGTAAAGGCCCTGAATATTGAATATACAAAATTAACAAGCACCATACACAATGCAGCGTTTTAATAATGCTTGTAAATGACAATTGAGCAATTACTCTCAGAAACAAGTATAACAAATAACACTCATCTAATGCTTTACACAACTTTACAAGAAAAAGGGAGATTGGGTAAATATATAGGCATAGTTGATTGCACCTTGATCACAAGTCCAAACACCATGTACCACAATCCACAGCTAGTCATAGAATAGTCTCATTAAAATGGCCGGCCCTGTGCATCTACAACAGCAGTTATCTTCTTCAGTAATTCTGCCTTGTTGGAGCCTACAAGCTTGTCAATTTCCTGTCCATTTTGGAGGAAGAAGAAACTTGGAGTGGCCTTGATATCAAACGAGGTGCTAAGATCCTGCACCACAGTAATCTTCACTTAATAACTAATGGAGAATATAGCATAATTGTAGCAAGTTTAAGGACATAATTTATCAAAGAGACAAGGACTACGAGGATCATGAATATTCTATTCAACAGTCTAATATAGCGGTGTGAGGATCATAAATATTCTATTCTATGGTCTAATATAGAAATATAAGGATCAGGAATATTCTATGGTCCACTATCAAATTACTTCATCAAAAAGAAGAATTTAGCACAATCAGCATAGAGCAAACTTGTGTCAATTCAATTTTTAAATATGTTGAGATAGATCCACCATCACATCCCTAGTTTCAAAGTTAATTATTGCAATTGTCCAACCCTTCCCATATCCAACCAACATATATCATAAAGGTAAGTATGCTTGATAGCAGCAGTTTTGAATATGCAGTATGGAAATAGTCTACTATGTCCCTTCTAAGTTCTACCAGAATGAATTGTATTACTTACGGGAAGCTCATCAACATCAATAGTGAGGAACATCAAAGAAGTATATTTCCGAGACAATTCACAATAATACGATGCAATCATCTTGCAGGGTCCACACCAAGCTGCACTAAAATTTGCTATGATCTGTCAAGAAAAAACAAACAAACAAACATTAGCATGTTTAAGTAGAGCTTATTGGGACTTGTGAGAGGGCATTAGGGAACCGAATAGCTGGTTAATATACAAATATGTTGCTTTGGCAGCATAAGGAAGCAAAACATGAGACAGTGATATTGACCTCATATAAGCTTTACATAGATTCAACACTACCACTTTATAGCATAATGCAATGAACAAAATAATTTTGTCATTGCATGAAAAAATATTGTAAAAGAGTGCAGTTATTAATAAGATTCACCAAATTACCACACTAATTACCCATTAAAATATCATTGTCTTAGACATAAACAATAAGACTAGGGCTACGTTTTAGATGTACACAGTTACACACTTCTTCCCCCAAAACAAAAAGGAAAAAGAAAGATTGTAAAAGAGAAAAGGGAAACACTTATGATACCAGATGCCCTAATGTTCTGTCAAAACATTTAAATACATACAAGAAATGCAAGCCTACCATAACCATGATAACGAAGCAAGTAGTTCCCTATTCCAGGACAAAGTATAGATATCAAAATGAGGTACATAAGGAGGAAGCAAGAAAGGTGATTGCACATAGGAAATTAGGAAGATTAAGGGTAAGGTGGCAGCAAGTGATAGTAGTCATAAGGGAGATAAGCAAGCCCTCTAGCCTCATACCTCAAATTTAACTTAATTCTATATTCATATTTCAAACTTATGTCCCCTTCTAATTTCTAATTTCATACATTAGGCTGCTGAAATACCTAAATTATGACAATGAGCTCTTTCCCACAAAGCTCGAGACAAACATATAGCTATTAAGATGTAAAGGCTAATAAAGGTTGATTCACACGTTTTGTAAGAACTAAGATGAGAAGCATTATGAACACCAAAAAAAATTGTACAATTGAAATATCTTTCATCTGAAAATCTTAGGGGATAAAACTTACAATCTTGTCTTGTTGATTTGCAAGCATCAACTTTTCCTCCCAAGCTGCAATTGTTGTAATAAGGTGCACATTTCCATCGGCCATAATATAATGAGCAGAAGAATCCTCATCGTCATCCTGCACCCAAAATTACTACACCTAAGTAAAACTGTCATGTCACTGTGTAATGCCAGTGTCAAATGCTCAACACCGCAACATGAAACACCGAAATCTCAAATTGATAACGCAAAGCCATTGCTTGAAAAACCCTACCAAAGATGCAAGTCCTTACCATCTGACATCTTTTGATAGCTAAAGGCTAATTATTCAAATCAGAACTAAAAGAACAATCACCAAAAAAACCAAAGAAGCCATATGCCATCCCAATTCTCAATCAGAAATCCAATTAAGCTATCCTAACATTGCTACTACACATACACACTCATCTAGTAAAAGATGCTAACTTACGAAAATGAGAATGGATTTTCTAAAGTGGTTTGGTGTACAATATCCCACATGAATATCAATTTAATGTAATGCATCTCCACTCACAAATAAGCTTGTAATCACTCAAAACCACCTTACCACAAGTTTGTTAGTAGAGAGCATTCGCCTGAGACATTACACACCAAACTTACCGGTAATGCAGAACCCGTAAGGATTTCATATGTTAGAGGGGTCTCAATTTAAAGGTTGTTGGTTAATCACTTAGGCAATGAACTTTTTTTTTTTTTTTTTGAAAGGACTTAGGCAATGAACTTAATGATTAAAAAAAAGTGACAAAAATAGCAGTGGTAGAATAACATAATATAAAAATCTAAGGATAGCTTAGGTCCATATAAACTTACTCTTGAAGCACACAATCCCATTTTACAGCCTCCGCAACACAATTTACTAAAGATGCGAGCCAGGTTGCTGCTGTCAGAATTGCCTGAAATTAATAAAATCATGAAATTTAGCAAGATCCAATTTTACAATCAGCAGTCCATCAATTAAAAAAGCAAGCAATTTCATCCTTTTATTAGTAACACCAGCAATATAATCATTTAATTAAAACCTTTAGATGAGTTTAAAACCCAAAGGAATCAGTTAAAAGACTCCGTATAATAATAGTATGAGAAAATATCTAATATTTAAAATACTGAATTTATACGAAAAAAATATGGGAATTCTGCAGGCAAATCAGTGAAGATAATAATCAAATAAAAGTGACATGGTACCTTAGATTAGATAGGATTTAACTAAACACTCAATTTTAGAAGAATTCACAAAAAGAAGAAAACTTTAGCACCTAAAAATTAGATCTGCAATAGTTAGAAGATAATGATTGAATGAATGAATGATGTGAGACATAAAAGATGGAGATTGGTAAAAGCAAACCTTTGAACAGGGGAAACCCAAAACCCTAATCTTCTGAAATCGACGAGAATTACAAGAGAAAATCTAGGAAGAAATTTAACTGGGAAATGGAAAAATAATAAGAAGATAAATTGGGGGATTTGGAGTTTGTAGTGTTGTAGAAAAAGGTAAGTGATGCATAAATTGTAGTGGAAGACTAGTTCACATATTTAGACCAAGTACACAAGTGATGTGATACATATAACCTACAAATCAACTTTACTTTTTGTGAACACCTAAGTTGGACTAGTCCTTTCTTTGAGTGTTTCTTACGAACTTGGATTTTAGCATATGCAACATGTGCCCAATTCTACTAATCTTGCCCAATATTTACCTAATAACCTAATTTAATACAAGTAGCTAATGATGCTATTTCCAATATGTACTTTGTATGACTGTAATTGTTTATTGGTTTTAAATCATATTTGACTGGCTCACTCCGAATTGAATTGAACATCGAAAGACCAAAAGTACAAAAAACATGATTTGAAGACCTTGCGATTATGTTTAGACTAAGGGTCTGTTCACATTTATTTAATTTCAGTTCAGTTCAGCTCCAATCAGTTCAGTTCAGTTCAACTCATAATTTTCTTCTCTCATAAAATATTCATTTCATCTCAGTTCAGTTCAGATCAGCTCCAATCACTTCAATTTAGTTCAGTTCAATAAATGTGAACAGACCTTATCACTGGGCTTACCTAATATATTTAGTCCAAAACCTTAACTAAATTGAATGTAGACTTTATTCCCCTCCCCCGTCTTTCAGATATTGAAAGAAAAGACTTATTTTTAAATACATATATGCTTCGATGTCTTCTTACATCCTCGTGAAGTTTTCAAAACAACCATGCAAATGTAATATGTTTACCTAACTCTTACTTTGTTACTATCCCTTGGTCTCTTTTTGTTTTTGTTTTTTTTTTCTTTATTTTTATTTAGGCTTCACATTTCCTTTTCAATTAGAGAAAGGAATTCAATTTAATCCCAAATTTAATTTCATCCTTGTTATCTCATATTTATTTTCTTATGTGTGGATAACATTAAGATTGAATCTCCTCTATTACTTATATTAATACAATATCCAATGCATATTTATTGGTAACTCATATGTAAGAAGAAAACAAAAAATTTACATTTCCGAAACATGTCAACTTGTCCTGAAATAGTTAACTAGACAATTCAAGAGGATGTGAAAAATGTAAGGGCCTTAAATTGCTACTAATGAGATTGAATCAAATTTTGTTACATACATTCGGGATGTTTAGGCACCTTATGTATTTTTTTTGCTTATTATAATGATTAAATTAGAGGACATATAATCATCAAATGAGCAATTCAAAATCGAAGCATAATTAGCCCAATGAACAAATTGGATGAGGGAGACGAATCAAAGTAGTCCATAACCCATATGTTGATATGAAAAAAGAAATAAATAAGAGAAAGAAAGCACCATTGATTCCGGGGTACTAATTAGTAATTACGTAACACTCGAAATAAGGTTTTTTTGGGTGTTCGAACAAGATTTGTAGATTGCACTTGCGCACACACCAAACACACCTTCTCTAGTTCTCTTCTCCAAAGCACCAAAACCGTGGACTTTACTCACTCTCTCTCATCTTAGATCTCCAGGTATCATTCATTCTCTCTTTCTCTTTTACACTCGCATTGTATTTCTATTCATTTATTCATCTATTTCATCATAATCGTTGTTCTGTAGATAGGGTTTCATGAATTCAATCAATTAAATTGGCTCATCGATCTTTTTATTATCATTTGGAGCTTTTTAATTCAGTTTTAGGTTGAATTTGGGATCTTCCAAGAAAGATGGAGGATGATAAAAAGAAGAAGAAAAACAAGAAGAAGAAGAATAAGCAACAACCCAAAACAACAGCAGCAACCGACGATTCGGCAAGTTCTGTTAGTGGCGAACAAGATAATTTGTCAAATATAGCAATTGATGATGATAAACAACCTCAAAATTATAATGGCGTAAGTTTATTTTTCTAATTATTGCTGTTATATAACTGCATTTTCATTATTTTTATTACAGTGACTGTATATTAATATCGAATTTGCTTGTATGTGAATTAGACATTTTACTGTGTAACCTGTGAATGTGCAAAAGTATTAAAGACTCTACCTTTTGATTTTCTACTGTAAGAAAAGTTCCAATTTTGTTGGGTTTTATTTCTCTGATTTATTGGATATTATTCTTTACAATCCTACAAAATAGGCTTACAGAAATCCCTATGATATACATATTATATGCACAAGGAAGCCCTTTTAAAAAGGCACTAAGCTATACAAAGAGACAAAACAGAAAAAAACAATAGTAGTAACCAATTAGGATCAATACAAAACATATATGAGAAACTAATTACATAGAGAGAGTTGTATGAAAAATGTCATGTGCTCCACCAATCTTCTCAATATTCCCCCCTTAAGTTGTAGCTGTGTTAAACAATTCTAACACAGAGAGAAGATTGTGCTGTTGCTCATTTTGACATTTAGTTGTCAAGTTTGTAAATTGAACAAAGGACTTGATGTCAAGCACATTTATAAAATCACTAGTGGTGTGATCTCTAACATAGTGGAAGTCTACCTTTTTAGTTGTTGGGGTTTTTTCATAAGAGATTAGATATGGCAGATTGATTGTCACATAATAAATCAAATTTTTGTTTTTCAGAATATAAGAATCTTTCTGAAGAAAACACTGTATAGAGTCAATGATCTAGCTTTGAATGCGCAGTTTTCCAGTCATAGTCACAAAATCTAGTTATTAAATCAGTTGAATAGAATATTCTGTGATATATAGTACTAGCAAGGTACTTGATTACATGAAGTGTTAAATCATGAATTGACTCAATTGTTGCACTTTGGTTTGGTGAGGTTCAAGTATAACAATCATCCTATGATTTTATTGCATACCTAGGGTCCTCCAAAATCTCTCCCTCATTTATTGACAATTTACACCTTTAGGAAAAATGACATTTTGTTGGTTCAACCTTCTTCAAAATGTTAATTTATAAACTCTCTTATTCAACATGATCTAAACTACTCTATCGGTGTAATGGGATATCATTTGCTTTATCATTCTTCTCAATTGAATGCATTACCTTATTGAGTTTGATTCAAATTCTCTCAATAAACAAATATCAATCTTTGATAGCATCTCAGCATAATTCTAACATAAGTATATAAAACCGTACACTCCGTTTCGATTGCTGCTCCCTGATGAGATAAGAAATTAGGCAATGTTTTTTTTTTGGCCTGCCAAATTAATTGCTTTTCTGTTCATGCAGATTACTGATTTTGTCATTATCTGATACCAACATTATTTTAACTTGATTGTCTTGACAAAGATAAATTTCTGATTCTCTATTAGAATTCTATGCTGTGAAAAACTGGACACAATGATGATGTTCGTTAGGTTTTGAATGAAACGTCATTTTCACTAGTTCTGGCATGGAAGAAAATGAAAGAATATCTTTCATCATACAAATGCCCAAATTTTATCTCATCATCTAATGCCTCTCTAAATTTTCATTGGCAGTGTGTTACAGCTGACAGTGAAAAGCAAAATTCGTTGCAAGGAGAGGTGATATATGTCAGATCAGTTGAAGTTTCTTGTAAATTTTACAAGGCTTTTGCTTACGCTTCACTATGTGTTGCATTGCATCCCTGTCATGATAATTTTTTTCCTTTTGTATTTTTTAGGCTAGATTAAGAGATATGGTCAAACAACTACTTTATGAAAAAGACTCCTACATACAAAGACAGGTATTGTTTTATGACATGTACTATGGGATACATGGTTATATATCACAGTGCAAACAAAAAAATTTGTGATGAAAATACTCAATTTGCTTCAATTTGTTTTCCCTCTTTTTGCAGGCCGACCTAGAGTTGAAAATGAAGCAATTACAGACTGAAAGTGACTCCTGGCATGAGAAAGAGGTTATGTTGGGTGGATTGTGTTGCATTGATTTCTGGCATGCTTGCACTGTTTGGCCTGGAAAATTGTTACAATTCTTTGGAGGAAAGTGGGTGTGTGTGTGTGTGTGTGTGTGTGTTTAAGAAACCAACACTCACAGTTATACTTATTCTCTAATTCTCAGGTGAGCCTGGAGCAGAGAATCAGCCAGCTATTACAAGAGAATGCTTCTTTGAGTTTTGAACAGGTGAGAGTTAAGAAGACTATATGTCGTAAACTATATGTGCTTTTTGACTTTTTCCATACTACCTCAGTTTTCCAGAATTCTACTTAGTAATTGTTGCTACAAAATTTAAGAACTCAATAGGGATCACTCATGTGGGTCCTTTTCACTTTATGGAGATTGATGGAGAGTTTGGGATTCAATTAAATATATAGGTTCGCATAGGGTGGGGTAGGAGCTGCTAAAAAAAAAAGTAGAACGCGTATAATTGGATGAAAACAAGTGAATAAAACTTGGGAAACGTGGCTAGTGCCGTAGTGGTCATGTACATATGTTTCTCTTCCTCGTGTTTTAATGCTCATGTCATTACTGTGGTAGCCTATGACTTCAGATTGAACTGTCTATTTAATGACTAAATTAATCATCTATTGTTTCAGAGGAATTTGCTGGAAAAATATCAGCATGTTGAGAAGGAGAAACATTCTCTTGTTGAAACAGAGGTAAGATTTTCTATCTTGATGATTATTACTCCGTAATACTCATATTTTTATACTTGCCTAGTTTAATCTTTTTTTCTGGTTTCCCCCCATCAAAAAACCTTCTGCGCTGTTGCTTTCAGCACTTATTGTTGTTTTGTCATCATCATTGTATTTGTCAGTCAACATCTTTTAAGTCACCCAAGGCCTTTACTGTCATCCTATAGTTCTACTTTGTCATAGTATTTTTTTACTTGCCTCAACCTCAGTTCACCTTCTGCTGCCTTCTTCGGTTTAAGATGGGAAGCTAAATACATATGTTTTGGTTATCCTCCCCTATGTGCAGAACCTAGACAAGGAAATGATCATGACTCTGAATTCCGAGAACGCAAAGTTGAAAATGCAGGTATGTAATGTGTTATGCGAGTTTGTGATATATAATGTTGAAAAGCTAATTGTACTTGATTAGATGGTTAACAAGTCAAGGCGTCAAGCATGTTACAGCATAGAAAGGAGCTTCATCTTCTTTGTTGGATAAGATAATTAAATTGGATTTAATATTTATCAGTCATGTATTTGGACCAAATTAATTTATCTATTGCGTGTTAGTATAAATACTTATTGAGAAAGAGTAGGATTTCATGCACCATTTAGTTTTTTTTACCAAAGCAATTTGCTTACTCCATTACTTTGCAGTTGCAACCAAAAACTTGGTGCTCAAGCCAAGGGTTAGGAGAAAGTTAAAGGAGCTTTATATGACATTTAATTACCACTCCCACCTTTCTCTATTTCCCCTCTGTGAACCCATCATTACCTTCACAATTGGAATGGGTCATTACTGTTTCTCTCTTTAATAATCCACCCTCACCAGCACTTCAATTCCCATTAAGGGAACGATTTCTGCTTCACTGCCTTTGAACTTGCTGATTTGCTGGCAAACACAACTCCTTTGACCACCAGATCTGAAGTCACCTCCATCGAGTGGTTTTTATTTTTGTAAATATTGATTTTTGGTGGTGTGTTGTTGTGCTTTACTCTGTCTATTTGTGGGTTGCCAACATAATTGTTAAGTGTAGGCTTTTGGTAGTTTATTAGTGTTGTTGGGTGGCCTTCTTGCCTTCCCTTTCTGGTTTATTGAAGTTTTGGTAGTGGTGGATTTTGATAGTATTGGGGTAGGTGTTGGTTTTAGTCGCTTGATGTCTATGTAGTTGTCTGGGAGTGGAGGCCAGAAAGGTGAACTAGAGGGGAGGAGGCGAGGCTGGAGAGTGTTGGGGTAGGCACTAGGCAGTTCACTTGGAAGGGGTGGGAGGTGCTTGAGGCTTTCAGATTGTGCAGTTGCCTGGTTAGTTGGGGTTGGGGTGTACTTGATTTATTGGCTAATGGTAAGGGGAAGAATAAGGAGAGCTGGAGGAATTAGTTAGTTGGGGTTGGGGTTATTAGATGTTATAGTTGGTTAAACAGGGGCAACCTTTTTTACGAAGTATTTTATTTTTGGGTGCAAGTTTGTGTATTTACTTAAAAAAAAAAAAGAAGTAACATTGCAACTATTTTAAAATTTCCTGCAAGGATTGCGTGCTAACTAAAAGAAACGGAGGAAGTACATATTTTTTCTGATGCTAAATTGAAAACAAAGCCTGGCAGGTTTTGGAGTTGGAAGGAGCTAGGAATAGTCTTTCACAAGACAAGCAGCAGCTGCTAGACAACATTTCTAACTTGCAGTCACGAGTTCACAATCTTGAAATGAGTTTGGCTACTCCAGTGCCTCCAACTGATGCTCAAAAGGTTTGCTTCTTCTACCTTCTTTTTTATGTGCGTTTACACATGGTCATTGCATATTGGGGAAGTCATGAGATGATCTGCCAATTTGAGCGGTGATGCAAATTAAGCATTCGATCTTGTGTGGCACACATTGAAAGTATCTCTCATACAGATTTTGAAAGAACCTTTGTTAATGTCTATGATGGGTTTTGACTTTCTGATATAGGATGCCTCTGAGAAAGAGAGCTTGAATACTGAGATGGAAGAAATGTATGCGTTGATTGGGAAATTGATGGCAGAAAATGCAGATCTTGTTGAAAAGGTAATTCATGAGTGACACATGCAGTGTTGCCAGTGTATGATGGTTTTGTTTTATCTGAAACCTCTTCCTTCCCTCTTGAACCCTAAGATTAAAACCACATTTACTAATCCTTAGGGTAAGAGAATAAGCAAGGGTAAGAGAATAAGCAAGTCTGATGTCCATTATTTTTTTTTTTTTTTTTTTTTTTTTTGACATTTTAGGTAAATCAGATGTCCATGGTGCTTGGTCAACGAGCTGTAGTGCCTGATATAACTTCGGTGGACATACCTGATTATTCCTCTGCAAATCCTTTGTCTAGATCCACCGAGGATATTCAAGAAGATAACTCCTTGTCAACAAAGAGTTTCGAGTCTTTTGGAACAGCTCCAGTCAAAGATGAGCAAAGAGTAACTGATGAATTAAACTCAGAACATGCTAATATAGTCCGGCATTCATCAGAAACCAGTCTGACTGGAGAAATAGTGCAAATTTCATTAGATGAAAATGAAAGTCAGGATATAGAAGCACAAGCTTCTGTAGGTGTTGAAGATGAGAGTGTGCCACTTGCTGATGCTCCTCTGATCGGTGCTCCTTTTAGGCTTATTTCTTTTGTTACGAATTATGTAAGTGGTGCCGATCTAGTCAACAAGGGTCCATCAAACTCGCTGCAGTAACCTAAAATATGTTCTAACTTGTAGAAGGTCCGTTGAGATAGGAAGGAAATAGATGGTCATACTACGTATTTGAGTTATTTTACAGTAAACATTTTTTAACACAAGATTGGACTACAGATTACTGTCCCATTGCTTTTTTGTTGTTGGCCATTTTTTATTTTTGGTTATAATGGCCAACCTGTATCACCTGAGTTGATATAATTGAAATTTGATTTAAAGCGAAGTAGAATCAAGTTTTTCTGTTTGAATTCAATATCGGAACCATGATTTGCTTGATAACGAGTCACGTAATCATGCATGAAGATTTATGAAAAATAGTATCAAACCACCCCCTCCCCTCTTGTCTCATCATTAAGACTCCAATTAGTGTATGTCAAACTAATTTGTTAGAGTTTAATTGATTGTAAGACTAATTCAAGCACAGATACACTTATACAAGATGTCAGTAACACCAATAAAAAAAGGCAAATGTTTGAATCAAATTTAGCTACAACACCCCTCCTATACTGATCAACAAATAAAAAACCTGAGAAAAAAGAAAAGAATGACACAATTTGAGTTCCTAATTTATAACTCTAAAAGAATCACTGAATAGCTGGGACCTCATTAGCAGCAAGTACCAAGATTTTGAGCTATGTACAGTCCTTTGTTAGTAGCCTCCTTTTTCACTAAAAGATAAAATCAAAAGAACAATTGAATGCTCTTTGTTACTTTTACGGTGTAATGGTATCTGAAGCCTTAGACTTTGATCCCTCAGCCTCTGGCGATGGTCTGCTTGAAGAATCCGACTGCCTGGTCTCCTCGATCATCTTCACCACTTCTCCCATGTCAGGTCTTAAATCTGGCACCTTGGAAACACAAGCCATGGCAATTTGAAGCATTTGAACCAACTCTTCTTCAATATTCTGATTTCTCATTAGCTCTGCGTCAAATACTTCTGCAGTCCATTCCTCCCGAACAACTGACTGCACCCACCTTGGGAGATCAACCACATCATCACGTCCAGGTGATTGCACTGGAGTCTTCCCTGTAAGCAACTCGAGAAGGAGAACACCAAAGCTATAAACATCAGATTTTTGGGAGGTTTTTCTTGTCTCTATTGTTTCTGGTGCTCTGTAGCCGGCAGTTCTAGGAGGGACAGCAGGGAAGCTCATGAGGGGAGCCAGACCAAAATCTGATATGCAACCATTATGGTCCTCGGAAAGAAACACATTGGAGGACTTAATGTTCCCATGTGTGAACTTGCCACCACCAGCTGAATGGATGTGGGCTATTCCTTTAGCAGCTCCTAGTAAAATTTTTATCCTGGATTCCCAGTCCAGTGGTGGTTTTTCACCATCCTTGCTACCTGAAAATATCATAAATTGTTTTGTTTATCTAAGCTCTTGAGGATAGTAATTGCTAAGTTGAACAAAGTTCTACTTTTTAAATATCATTTCTCATTTTCATAATTGACAATTAAGAAACAAAAACGATAAAACAAAGAGAAACAGATAGCATACCATGCAAACGTGCCAACAGGCTACCAGCTGATACATAGTCGTAAACAAGAAGTTTTTCATCCTTAGAGTAGTAATAAGCCCGTAGGGGAATTACATTAGGGTGCTGACCAACCCTCCCAACTGTTTCCATCTGCTGCTCAAACTCTCTTTTGCCAACCACAACCTCCTTCAATCTCTTGACGACTACTGTCGTTCCATCCTCCAAGATGGCCTTGTAAGTTGTCCCATAGCTTCCCTTTCCCAGCACTTCAGCAGAGGCCCTTAGTAGATCTTCAAGATCAAAATTGAAGGAACAACCTTCAAAGAAAACCAATTTGTTCTTCTCAGACTCCTGGACCCCACTCCCAAAATCTTCCTTGGGCTTTTCAGTCCTTCCAGCACCAAAAGCCTTGCCTTTAAGAACACCATGTCCTTCACTATCTTTTTTCCTTAAACAGCAAAAGAAAGCCATTAGCAGAAGAAGAAAAAGTGCCACACCTCCTCCTACTGCAATGGCAATGATAGCCACTTTGCTTAGTCCCTTTTTCGAGTGTTTTTTTTCATGAGCAGCAGGTGTAGGACCCACGTTATCTGAAGGAGACACAGCAGGAGCAGAAGCAGGAGAAACTCCAGAGCACTGTTTAAGTGGAGGTCCACACAAGCCAGTGTTTCCCCGAAATGACGAATTGGGAAAGCCACTAAGAGCCAATGGGATTGAGCCATTAAGGTGATTGTTGCTCAAATTCAGATATTTAAGACTTTGATTATTTAATTTGGGGATGGATCCAGTAAGAGCATTATCTTGAAGGAACAATTTATTTAAATTAGTCAGATTTTGAACAGATGATGGAATTTCGCCCTGCAGGGAGTTAGAAGCGAGATCTAATGTGTTGAGTTGCGGGGATAATGAAGATGGTATTTTTCCAGATAAGTTATTTTGTTGTAGGTATACATACTGGAGAGAAGGAAGGGACAGCAGATCAGATGGAAGACTTCCCGAGAGGAGGTTTGACCGGAGGCTGAGGGTTGTCAGGTGATCCAACTTCCCAAGGGTGTTATTAGGGATAAGACCTTTAAGTCCAACCCCAGGTAGCCTGACAGCAACTACACTATTGTTATCTGAGCTGCAGGTAATGCCCACCCAAGCAGTGCATACTGGGGCAGAAGAAGTCCAGTTCACTTTCCGGCCATGAGGGATAGAAGCAGCAAACTGAAGCAAAGCTTGCTTGTCATTTTCCAGATCAGCATGATTTGGAGGTGGAAAAATGAGCAAGAAAAGGGACACCAATGTCAAAAGAAAGAAGAGCCTCATAGATATCCTACTGGTGTAAGTTCAATAGGATAATTGTTGGTCTGTTGCAGCGATTTTCTGGTAATGCCTGGCATAAGAAAGAATAGGCTATCAGCAGTCCGATCATATTTCCTACGAATACAAACTAAAGCAAGCACTGCATGCATGTGAAACGTAGAGTTTACAAAAACTAAGAAAATTCACTCAAATAGCAAGAAAGCAAAAAAATAAAAAAAAGTTTAAATAAATAAATAAATAAATAAAATTAGAGAGAGAGAGACTGAACATGCACTCTATGAAAAATGCTTAAAGACTAGTTATCTCTTTAAGATAAACAATAATCTAGACAAATAACAATGTTGTTATGTTAGAACAAAGATGATTGCAACAACACGAGTGGTATAAAAATTGCAGAAACCGTACATTGAGAGGTAAGATATGAATTACCGGATAAAAGGGAATACAATTATATGGGACAACAAGCAGGGTATAAAAGCATCAAGCAGAATCTCATAATCTGTATTGCAATTAAAGAGAAGGTACAGATACTTCACCTAAGTATCAACGAACAACTCAAGGATTAAATGTACACCAGAATGGGAGCCACATGTTAGCAAAGTAGCTGCCTTTGATTGAAGACTAATTTGTGGACCAACAGAATGAATGCTAGATTAATACCAGACCCAGTGTGTTTCCAAGGAATTCATCCGCCGGGTCCAGTCATTAACGTCAGTCCACCCACCCTCGGAATTACACTTTAAGCATCAAATTAAAATGAGTGGAGAAGAAAGAATAGGATTAACGGAAAATTTTTGTACCAAAGCATAAATGCCACTATTTATGAAAACAAAGAAATGTCCAGTTCAATTCTCGCCTGACAGTCATTATACGATCTTTAGGATTAGTATAAAAGGTAGTACTCCATAATACATTTATCAAAAAGTAAGCATACAGCTAAAGCGCTAAAGAAAGCAATAAAGCATGGGAGTTCTTTTTGGATAAAGAAGGGAGCACTAATAAGTATGCAAGGGTTAGTTGATAATAAAGACGAGTCTTTTTCTGTTTACAACACTAATTATCACTCATGATCAATGTTCTCCTACTGCCTTTCCATGCTTTCACCTTCTAATTTTAAGAGTTGATTGCATGAAGCATTAGTCAAATCCCACAAGAAAAAGAATCTCTTTTTTCTTTTCCCTTAAAAAACAGCCATTAGTACTTCTACTAAATTGGGATGGATGATATACTGGGTTTCACTTCTCACTAATGGTATCCAAGGTATACCAAATTGAAGGTCCTCTTTCAAATTATCGAATCTAATCAACTCAAACCCGTTGTCCCTCCCATTTTCCAAATTGAAGGTCCTCTTTCAAAGTAAATTTGCATGAATGATAATTCCAATTTTCTAGTCTCACATCATTTTTTTGCTGCAGGAGCAGAAAGACTAACTAAGCAACAATTCATCGAGTAATTAAGCTGTATTTATACTTCATTTAACTTAAGATAAATTGAAGGATCCGGTTGAATTGGGATGATTGATAAAATGAAGAACAAATCAGGGTGTAATGAAGATTTTAGTAAACATGAACCTGAAAATGGGAAAGCTGAAATTTTTGATAAATTCATACTAGAAGGAAGAAGAATTTACTATTTTTAGCAATCAAATTAATAGTTGAACTAAAATTAAAGGAAATAAATTAGAAGTAAGGAAATGTAACAAAAATCAAACAAAATATAACAGTATATCAATTCAAAGAGATATTGAAAGAGGAAATTACCTTAGAAAGATAAATGGGTCAAATTAGAGCACCTATCAACAAAGTTATCTGCACAACAAGAAATAAGAGGTACAGATCCATGAAATTGATGAATCAAATTTAGAATCAGAAATATTCCCAAATGAATAGAATTTGACACATTTTATATGATGCAGAAATGAAGTTAGCAACTTGAATAAAATGTGAGAGATAGAAAAAAGAAAAGGGTACCTGGAAAGAAGCAGCATTTGCAGCAACAACAACAACATAGTTGAGTTTAAGAAAGAGAATGAAAAAGAGAGAAAAAAAAAAAGGTGGAAAAAGAAAAAAGCAATTATCAACGGCAAAACTTGAAGAATACAAGTGAATCTGAGTTGGGTATTAGAGAGAAAACATGTGTTGAACCCAAAATCTTCCGTGAAGTTAACGGCAAAAAAGTAACCTCCCCTGAAAATGGGGGGTTTTGGGTTTTCGATGAATTTGTTCTCTGTTTCAGAGTTTTTGCTGTTAGGATTTTCCAAGTAAGGAAGAAGAAGCAGGTGCAGAACCCAGGAAGTTGGTCTGCACAGCTGTAATTTTTGAGAAGAAAGACCTTTTCTTTCTTTTGTTAACAATATTAACATCACATTTTTACGTTTCTGTTTTTCTTACCAACAAACTACCAGCTCATTCCTTCCTTACCCCCATTATCTTAACATTTTTAAACTCCTCCATTTCAGCATTTTTTATTAATTGTGACATTGTAATGCAAAATTTTGACCATTTACATGAGAGTATTTATAATTATGCATTAGTAAGAATTCTAAAGTTGATATAATTAATTTAATAAAGAGTTGAAAGACTAATCAAAAATAATTTGCATGATAAAATTTGTGTTTAACATATGGAGTGTTTGTAATGATGTAGTCAAAAAGTAAATAATGTTTATATTAATAGTGAAAGTTAAGATGTTACACTTGTAGACAAGTGATAAACTGATTATACATTTGTCGCAATTCATCCAAAAACTTTCACAAGATAAACAAATCAAGCAAAATATTATTGTAAAATGCGACAAGAAAAAAGAAACAGATAAACATGATATTAATTAGCTAGTAGTATTGTCTTGTGAGTAATTAAATAAAATTAGTGGGGACTAGCACCCTTTTAAAAAATGAGGTAAGCCCATCCTAAGATCCTAATTCTAATTTCTAAACCTAAAATAAATGGAATGAAGAAATTAAAAGGAGCAGCAGTAGTTGAGAAAGTTGGAAAGAAGGAAGTCCAAGGTAATTAGTGAGAGCCTGACAGATTAGCAGAGAGCCAGAGAGAGAGAGGTGCAATTGTGCAAATGCTAATGCTTGTAACTTATACTTGTCTCTCCCTCCTTGGATGATTCTTCGGTCTTCTTCAACCTTATTTATTTCCTGTCTTTCTTTTTTTTAATTATTTTAATCTTCTTAATTACTTATACCAAATGTTAAATGTCTAGTAGATAGTATAGCAACTAGTATATGTTTAATTGATCTAGTCATCTAATTGTAGAGATTGTTATTGCACAGTATAAGGATGTGAGTCAAGATTTCCTTACCCTTGTCCTTTCATTTTAAAAGCGTCTTATCTGTTTATTTGGACAAAATTGACTTGTAAGAGGTTCTTAACCTTACATAAAACATTTTTCTTACCCGCCAAAAAAAAAAAAAAAAAAATCAAATATTATATTTGCATGAGTAAGCATAGCAAGAAGTAGCTACTGGTAAATTATTAGGGAGTAAATGAACAAGCATTAAGGTAAGTAGAGTTAACCTTGGATGCTTTAATTTGCATCATCAACACATGCATCAATCTATAATTAATTAAAGTCGAAACAAAAAGTCTAGCGGTTCTCATATTCGAATTAGAGACTTTTTATTTGAATTATCAAGTCTTACCTACTTATGTACCAACTCCACCTCTTTTGCCTCATAAATTCTACTCCTAAGTATTGTTTAATTAAGTCTTCCCAATTAATTACTACAGTACGAGTACTTAACAAAAACAGTCAAGCATTCAATTCCCGAGTCAAAATGAAAACCAGACTTGACGTACTACTGTCTACAGTGAAAATATGTTCTCCTTGACTCTCATTAGTAGCTCTCCAAACCATTTTAATCATAAAGTTTCTTTGTTTATTTGGCATTTTATGAGATGTATGTAGTTAAATCTATATCATTGGGCCCATTTCTAATGACATTAAGATGGTACTACAACGTCTACAAGTATGGCATTTCCTTAATACAGATACATTACTAGTGTATCCAAGCTATTTGTTTTTAATTTGCTAATTTGGATAAGAAAAAATTAAATCTCAAAATACTTGATAATATAGTACTAAGCGCGCCTGCCTATAAGTATTTCTGAGTATAAGAAGTGTGGACATTGTTACTTTGTAGGTTGTTTGGTGTTTTTCATGTGATTTTACTCGTAAATCATTTGGACACTTACAAAAAGATAAGAGAACCTTGGTTAGCTAAGTTAGTTCTTAAATGGCTTTTGAAATGACATGTTATAGACGCAAAACATAATAATACTACTATAGATGCAAAATACTCGATAGAAAACGCTCAAAGATATTCGTTAAACATAAACAAGCAATTTAAAGAAACATGCTTTGAGAAAAGAAAGAGATGAATCATGATAACCCTAATAAATATGATGTCAAAGTCTGAAAGTCAATATGCAGTTGAGCACAAGATAGGCGAAGTGTAAGTGTCAGTGAGAAGTGAATAATGGTTTAGTGGCTGGTTAGACTGGTTGGACTTTATTTAATAGGCGTAGGTATTGTGGGCCAACCCAATGAATTTGGAACCGTTAAAGCCTTTCTTTGAATCAGGCCCAGTTTATAGTAACAAAGAGTATGGCTGTTTTTATCAGGGCCCCAAAAGTAGTTTGTATACTTTATATTACGTACGATATTGGTAACATTGCCTCTCATTTTTAAGGTACAGCATACTCACTACTCATAGTCACTGTCACTGGTCACACTATTTACTTTGCAAATGGTTTTACACCTCTTATACTAGTAACAACAGTCCAAAGACTAACATGGTGTATTAACGTAAACATCGTTAACGTGTAACTCTAGCTAATCTACAAACTCAGGGCCTTCTAAGAAAATTGGAGCAAATTACGTGAAACCATCTAAACTCGATACTAGACCGAAGATGTATCACTAAGCATGAAAAGTAGTATAGGCTAAAAGTAGTGATACAGCATAAAAAACAGAAACAAGTTGGATGAAGAGGAGCGGAGTGTATCTATGTAGATCCTCAAAAATGAGGAAACCAAATGATGTTAAGAGTGAGCCCTTGTGTTTATTTTAACTAGTGAGATCACATGAAAACATGTGCTTGTTGTGCGTGGGCTCTAAACCTGATGCCCGCATCATGTGCTGCGACTGCGACTGACAGCAAAGTTCAAAGGCCAGCCACATGCCTATCACAATTGACCTGACTATCCCCAGATCTAGCTTGGAAGTTTCCCCACTGATATCTTTTGCAGCAAAAAATAATTGAGTAAATCCAAAATTCCCAGATCTCACATTCTTATCAGAACAATTCTTGCTCATTCTCTGAGGCTAACTACCAGAATTCTCTCTTTCAGAGCCACTATCCAAAAGAGCTTTGTCAAAATGTACTTGTTCCAAGTCATAACAGAAGCTCATGTAACTCGATTAGTATATCGAGTGCAAAGGAAGCCAGACATTCTATCTAATCATCTAGCATACTATTTGCCAAAGCAGATACTGGTCTGAGACTCCGAGATCCCTCTTCAGACTATAGCATAACAAAAGGACTCTCCAAAGTCTAAACCTGACAGGCATATAAGAGTACTTCCCAAAAGCACTGTCTTCTGCCTATGTATGTGCGAAATATATATACTTGTATATCAAAAGTACCTAGTGCTAGTACTGTTAGATTCAATAATGATCAAATGATAACACATAATCATCAATATATATTATTGCGAAATGAATCAAATGTACAGAACTATATGACTATTGCCTGGAGTATCCAGGGCATTAAGTTATAATTTATCTTATCAATTACATCAGGACTCGGGAACATGGGAAACCCAGACATTTCTTTGCAAAACAATCAATCAATAGACATTCAGCTCTTCTCCAAGCAAAAATGAGATATTCAATCACGCAGAGATAATCAGATAACTTTTGATATAATCAATTTGGAAGATCTTATATGTGTAAAATACCGAAACAAGGAACCAATCATGAGAGGCCAAATGGTTCTGGCAGAGGCTCAAACCCATTTTCAAAAATAGAACACTGATCAGACATATCATCCACGCTATGCAGCCAAGTAGTGTTCTTCAGATCCTCTTTTAGTAGGATTGCATCATATCGGGTGCTCTCGTACATATCTGCTCCAGTCAATCGTCCAAACAACCTGCCATTTTCTTCTTTCTTCCCGTTCTCAAGCAACCCATTAGCATGTGTACCATTCTCTAGCATAGACCCATTACTGCTAAGTGATGGACTTCCATTACTGTTGACAGATGTTGGACTGCCAGACCCATGACCGGTTTGGATTTTGGATGGAGCAGACCGGATGCTTTGAGGGAACAGGGAGGTACTTGGAAGTGGGCGCATGCTCCCTGAACCATTTCTAATATCCTACACAAGCAGTACAAAGCAAAGCAAGGAGTTATTCAAAACCAATTGTACACAGATATTCTATTTTCTGATTGGGAATGCCAGCTAGTACCACAAAGCATGTCAAAGAATGAAAGACAGAAAGCAAACTTACAAGGGGACTAATCCTCTCCAACAATAAAAATGAAATCAATTGACATTATAGAGAACGAAGTGCAAGCATAATATACGATTGAGACCAAAATTTAAGCGCGATATGAACATATAAGAAGTAATATGAAGACTGTAAGACACAAGTTACTGATTACAAATACAGAAACAAGTTGCAAAGGAGAACAATAAACGTACCATATGTCTGATAGCCATGTCAATTGACTTCTTTGATATGGTCCTTCCCATACCACCATTCTCCATAGTTGTGGATGCCTTGACAGGTTTCCTCATTGAATCAGAAACATAAGCTGATTTACGGGATTCAGAGACATCAGTATTGTGGCCATTGGAGTGAAGATGGCCCCTTCCAGGTGGTTCTACAGACCTACCCCTACTAAAAGGAGAAGATGGTCTCCTTGGCCTATTAACAGAGCTTGGAGTCTCCGTATTTACCTTTGATGTCAAACCTGTACCTGGTCTTGACCTCCCAGCAGAAATAGGTCTATCTGTCAATGATGTTCTTAAATTAGGAGGTGTATCAAGTGGAAAATCAGGGGGAATAACTGGCTGCTGTGATCGAACCCTAGGACTAGGGGAGCTAGGACGCGATGTTGATGTCTGGTTGCGTCCATTAGACATTACACGCCCTGTTGAAACAGAGAGGCTGGGAGCTGCTAAGGAGTTGGATGATGGACTTCGCCGAGTTGGAGTTGATGGGCGAGAGTTTGATCGAGTGACAGGAATGCTAGAAGTAGCAGGGACCTGCGATCTAGAACTAGGAGTAGAGGGCCTTGAGTTTTGTGATTGGCGTGTTCTGTCGCCAGAAGAGATATTGGATGATGAACGGGGTCTTGAAGGAGTAGAAGATCGTGAGGGTGTCGTTCGCGTTGAGGGAGTGGTAGGTCTTGCAGTAGATGATGTACGGTTGATGGGGGAGGATGGCCTTATGTAAGATGAAACAGAAGCTGAACTTGTATTCAGAATAGAGGTGGATCTATTTGAAGAATAAGTGTTGTTAAGAGTAGAAGAGCGTGTCACTGAGCTGCTTCTCGCTGGTCTGGATGAATGGCTGCTATCCAATTGCGCAGTAGAAAGCTGATATAGTCATTCGATCAAAGTTAGACAGTTAATCCAAATACAAATCTCTGAGCATTATAATCGACTTAATACCATGAAATCATACTGGTCTTTCTGCACAAGAATCTACTTAAAGCCATATAAATAACTTCCACAAGCAAGAATAATATATTGGTTTTTCCAGATAGATGTATCGAGTTTCTGCTACTTATACACAAGCCTATACAGCAACACTCTTCAAAGATGGTCAATGTCAAGGAAAATATAGCTCATTTCCCCGTCATTTGCAAATCGAAACTGCCATTGGTAGGCAATACATGATTTCAAGGTGTGATTCTAACATCTAGAGTTGTAGAAGTGTTCAGTAGGCAAGCATGAGGTATATGAGATTAAACGATTTGTTACCATTACGTCCACCAACCTAATAAGGCTTGTACTTTTACCTTTAAAATGTAGGAAAAAGCCACAAACATCTTGAATTACTAAAAGTTTTAGTTGTCCATAATAAAAATAGTAGTATATTTCATTTTGGGTGAAATGAAATGGACAGTTGGCCTATTAATTAGGACACAATATAATCATTTCCATGAATTTAAGCACAAAAGAACAAAGTAATAAGTTTGACCTTTAAGTAGTGCACTATGATACAATAGAAAGTGAAAACAGGAAGACAAAAGCGACATACCCTGGACGGTTTAGTAGTGGAAGTGGATCTGTTTCTTGGAGTGGCTGAAGTTGGCTGGAAATCAGTCTTCTCTGATGATGCACAAAGAGGAGTTTCCGGAGGCGTCAAAAGCCTACACGAATCGCGATATAGTGTCAGTAGATCAAGCATTCATACATAGACGCAAATAAATAACAAAAATGATGAAATACCTTAAAAAGAGAATTAGAAAGATGGGGGGAATTGGAAATGAAAAAAGAGAGTGAGTGAGTGAGTGAGTGAAGATGTAAACCAATCATAATCATGCTTGCCGGCATCAGCAGAAGCCAGAAGATCATCCAATCCAGTCCTGGCAGGCATTGTCACTGATCCAACTGTTGTAATCCTCCCCAATCTCATTGACACTGCAACCAACCAACAACCGTATATTCATATTCAATCACTTTTCTATGATAAAAATAATAATAGTAGTAATATAAAAAAGGACTAGTCTTTAGTCTTTAGTCTGCAGTCTGTAGTCGTAATAAGTAACGTCCCTGTTGAGAATTAGGATACGGAAACAGGGACCATCACTAGTTTTGGATCCCTAACCGACAAATTAAGACAACAACAACATCAGAAAAAATGATACCTTGTGATTCGTCGGAGGGAGTAGTGAGGGAGACACTGCGGCGAGAGCGAGAGAAGAGATCCAGAGTGTCATCGGCGTTTCTGGAGACACCGGTCAAGCTGTTGCCTCTGCGGTGGTGGTTCTGTGGCTGTTGCTGCGACGGAGCAGCGGGGTGATTTCTGACGACGGTGGAGGAGGAATTGTAATCTCTGAAGCTGCGATTCATGGTTGGTTGGGTTGAAACGTTGAATGAATAACAAAACCAAGTTGGTTGTGTAAATGGATATGGGTAGATGGGAAAAGGAAGAAAACAGTTGCTACTTTCAATTTACGTCATATGATGAAGAGAGAGAAATAATTAAAGAGTGAGATAAATGAGAATGGATCTGAGCGAGAAGAAAGAATTTCCTGTTCCTGGCAAAGAATTATTAAAAAGGGGTTTTCGAGGGAGTTTTGTTCTAACTTCTAAGCTTCTACTGTCATCTTTTGTTAAGGACCCCCCGCCCAGGAATTGCTCATTTTTTGTAACTTGCGAAACACTATCAAACCGCTTTGGTTTCGGAATACATGTATCATTTCTTTCCCACACCAATTATTTAGGAGGAGAAAAATAAAAGAGAGAGATGGACATGTGAAATAGTACAACTATTATGATGTAACAAACAAACCATACAACTTTTTTTTTTTTTTTTTTTTCAAATATTAAGGGTTTAAATTAATATGGGATAAGTGAATAAAGTATTAGACCTATTTTCAGACAACAAAAATTTCAATTAGATGGTCTTACCATTATCTAATGTCAACTTATAATTGGTTAAACCCAAAAAAAAAAAAAAAAAAAAAAGAGAACTTAGGGCCTGTTCTAATTTATTGAACTGCTAAATTGTGATTGAAGCTGAACTGAACTGAAATAAATATTTTACTAGAAAAGGAATTAAGAACTAAACTAATTGGAGATGAAATAAACTGAAATTAAGCTTAAAAAAACATGCCCTAAACATGTTCAGATTTACTAAACTACATTGAACCGAAATGGATATTTTAAGAGAGAAAGAAATTAGGAACTGAAATTAAGCTGAAGAGAACAGACCCTTAGGATATGATCACTTAATTACTTTCATGACTCACAACAAAATAATCATATAATTGAAAGATAGGTATTTTAGTTTAAGCCTAAAAGAGAGAGAACTTAGGTTATGATAACTTAATTATTTGCATGAAACAAAAATGATCTTAGGGCCTATTCAATTCAACTTAATTAATTTCAGTTCAGTTCGATCAGCTCCAATTAGTTCACTTCAGTTTCCAATTTCCTTCTCTCATAAAATATTAATTTCAACTCTGTTCAGTATAGTTCAGATCCAATTAGTTTAGTTCAGTTCAGTTCAAATTCTAATTTTCTTCTCTCACAAAATATTAATTTCAACTCTATTCAGAATAGTTCAGCTCCAACTAGTTCAATTCAATACAACTCAGTTCAATGAATGTGAACATGCCCTATAATTGAAAGACAATTTTACACTAATATTTCTCTTATCGGCAATTACATGTCATTATTACCTTCCTTACTCATCAAATGGCTTTTAGAAATATTGATACTTCGTATATTATTTGGATGAAACATACAATATGACATATGCCAAATTATGAAAGTAGTGCAATATGATAATCTAAAATACAGAGAATGTTAACTCTATTTTTATGCGCTGATAGATATCATTTTTTATTACAATTATCTGTTAGGTAAACTAATTGTTTGTTCTTTGATTGTGTAATGGTTGATATTATATACTTTGGTGTCAAATGTCTCTTAAAAGACGCAGAAAATTAAAGAACATATTATTATAACCAAATAATAGGAGTAAATATAATCACTAATTTTTGGAGTAGAGAGATATAGAAAGAAAAAATAAATAGGGGCCATGTGATTGGAGAAATACGAAGTATAAAAATAATTTATTAACTGAAAGAAATTTGATGTTTTTAAACTGAAAATTTCATATTTAAAGTTGAGTCATACCAAATTTATACTACATATAAAGACTGTCCATCAATACATACTACATACGGAGGCTAAGGTCAGCTAGAGATTTTTTTTATCGATTTTAAGTAAAAAAAACTGATCTGATTGGCTTAGTACCAGTGACTAGCTAAAACCCGGCAAGAGTGTTTAATTTATAAGTAGGGTGGGTTACCCTAAAGACAAAAGTGTTTAATTTATAAGTAGGATGTGTCATTTCTAAGAACCTTAGATAGTTATTAACAAGACCCTAGTAATAATTATTTTTAAAAAGTCAACATATTTAACAAATTTTTTTTATAGGTTATACTCCCATTTACAAAAATGGTTTGCGTGAGAATTAAAATCTAAAAAGGGATGGGTGTGTAGTTAAAGTGCATATATGAAAACAAAGAATTTCTATGATGCAATGATATAATGAGAGTAGGCGTAGAGAAAACGGTAGAAGTTGGAAAATGGAGAGAAAAGGGAGTTGATAAATAAAAGGAAATGAAGCACGTGATTAGGATTGACTCCTCTGGAGTACGTTATATCATCGGTAATTGCACATTCAAAGAATTAAACAGATGAGTTGATGTTGATTACGAGTGGAGTAGTAAACTAATGATTACCGATTTAAATATTAAGTCTAAAAGTAATAAGTAATCACTGGAGTTGAAACAGTACAAGGTAGTATTAGATCCTAGATGCTTTGTAGGAACCCAGGATGTTGGGATTTTAGACACTGCATGTGCATTTTCTGTCCTTTCTTCATCTTTTTTTATTTTTATTATCCTTTCTTACTGTCTTCATTATTATAATTTTAAATCCCCACATTACCATTACAGATGCAATTTATAGCTTAACTACTTTTACTTGGGATGTAAATTTAGACTAGTATAACACTACAAGTCTAATAGTCTATAACACAAGTTTATAGACTACTGACTCAATTAATAGTTTAATTATATCTTCTTTATCATAATGTGTCATTTAGAGATGGAGTTATACAAATCATAATAAAGTCAATTGGGATCAAGTTTATTTTCATTTAGTATTTTTTTTTCATTAGGATATATCTGCAAGTAAGAATATAAACTCACATGTGATGATTGTATAAACTCACATAAATAAAGCATTTATTTAAATATGATCGCTAAAAAAAAGTGAAGCTGCAATTATAAATTAGTTGAACATAAAATTTAGATCTGACAACGTGTTAGACGGTACCAATAAAACTCATATCACATACGGAGTAGATGTTATTATTTCATATTAAGTGAATTTAACATAATCTTAATTTAAGAGTGGTCCATACATGTTAGAAAAAAATCATTCACATTACTAGTGAACATGAGTCCTACTATCAGCTCACGGATTCTATATTTCTATCACAAAACGTTATGACCAAGTGGATCAACTTTACTTTTAAGCTGGGTAGATATTGGGCCTCTGTTAAAAGGACCGGTCCAATATATAACAACGTCACCCTAAATCGGTGATTCAAATGGGAGTATTCACCATTGATCAATATATAGAGAGAGTTTACAAGACTAGTTCTAATTATGATAGTAAATTGAATGCAATAAAGATACAAAATATACCCTATAATATATATCTTAATCTACGACAATTATTATTATAATATACTCGGTAGTATTTAATACAAACGAATATCGGAATTGGATTCCATAACATCAACTTTGCATACTAAAACCTAAACCAAAAACAAAAAATCCATACTTTTGAGTCTAATTAATACAATATATCTTAGGGGTGTCTATTCAAATTTTAGTTTGGAAGTTTGAATTAAGGATTTAGGGCCTGTTCATATTTACTTATTTTCAGTTCAGTTCAGCTCCAATCAGTTCAGTTCAGTTCATCTCTAATCAGTTCAGTTCAGTTCAGTTTAGTTCAGTTCAGTTTTATGCATTTTAATTTTTCAGTTCAGTTTATTTCAGCTCCACTCAGTTCAGTTTAGTTCAGCTCAGTTCAGTAAATATGAACAGGCCCTTAAGGCTAAATTCAATTTAGTTAGAAATAAAATTGGTCCAAGCTCACAATACCAATACAATACAAGTCTTTAAAACATAATATAGACATTTTACTTCAACAAGAATCCGTGTAAATGTGCAATAGAAGGCAATAACCTGCACAACATAAGAACATTCCATATTTGCAAATATACTCGTTTATATTTCGATTATTTTAGTACTTGGATTCTAAATAAGGTCAATTCAATTCAATCCGAACCTGATGTAAATGAGAAAGCCCCTAGCTACTAGCTAGGTAGGGAAGGGGAGCGAAAATGAAGTCAACACTGACCTTGATACTCCTCGATGATACGATGATGATAATTGACAATGCTGGCTTTGCAGTTCAATCTCTCAAGTCCTTCTCCTTCACTGATAATACTGTTAGCTAGGCATACTTTTAGCTACCCAAGAGAAATAGAGATGGAATAGTTCAAAACTTAAGGTTATCATAGAACCTTATACATTTTACAAGTTAAAATTGCATGGTTTTGTAGAAGCTTATACGTTATTCTTGACATTGACATTATGGCCAAAGCCCCAAAAGATTATTATACTTTTTTGGGTTTTTCTATACAGTGCCCCTGAGGTATTGACTTTTTCAAGCTGTGCCCACCCATTTTCAAAATTCCACGCTGTACCCCCAAAATCTCAAAGCTTTTCGACACCATGCCCCGAAATCTCCAAAATTTCTCAAAAGGCGTGGTTATAAGCCTTCAATTTTGGAATTTTTTTGATTTTTTCCGCTCGGAAATAAAATTTGCTAAAATTTTTACCATGGTCCCTAATACCCTCTAGGAGTCCAATTGGGTGGGTTAAACTATCCAATTTGCCTTTAAACGGCCAATTTACCGGTTTACAACTTGCACCAATTTCATTAAATCAAACCTAGCTACCACGAACATTTATGACAACATAAAATGACATAAATGGCTCCAAACGACATTATATGACCCCGAGATGTATCTCCTAAAATTCAAGACTTTTCGACACCGGGCCCCAAATCCTCCAAAATTTCTCAAAAATCGTGGATATTAGCCTTTAATTTGGTAACTTTTGACTTTTTTTGTTTACAACTTGCACCGATTTCATTAACCCAAGCCTACCACGAATATTTATGACAACAAAAAATGATTATATATGGTTTCAAACGGCATTATATGACCTCGAGAAAAAAAAGTCCAATTGGGTATGTGGAACCATCCAATTAATTTGCTGTTAAACGGTCAATTTAGCGGTTTACAATTTGCACCGATTTCATTAATTCAAGTCTATCACGAACATTTATGACAACAACTAATGATCATATATGGTTCAAAACAACATTATATGACTCCGAGATGTATCCCATATAATTTCAAGACTTTTCGACACCGGGCCCCGAAACCTCCAAAATTTCTCAAAATGCGTAGATATTAGTCTTCAAATTTGGATTTTTTTTGACTTTTTTTTTGCCAGGAAAAAAAATTGTCGGAATGTTTACCATGGTACTTAATACGTGTACAGTTTTTTTGAGGCAGTGGAAGAAGCACTTAAACATTAATTGACTTAATTTTAAATACTTTTCCACTTACCTAAAATATGAGTTCAATGTAATTTAATATTACTTAGAATATGTCTAGTCAAACATGGCCAAAAGAAATGTTAAGCCAATCATGTTAACCAACTAGCCACCCCCTCCACGGCTCCACCTTTCATTTCTCAAGTCACAAGTATGTGGAAATTAAAGAAGTGCTCGCTTATTTCCACCAGACACACCTTACCACTATTATTATTGTTTAATTTGT